ATCCAACAATTGGAGCTTTTAATCACCTGCAACCTACATTCAGAATGACTGCCAGGGTAGGGAAAAATGCAAAATGAGACCACTTTAATCATCTAAATTGGAACAACCACCTCAGTAATGGATGTCCAGCTACTAACAGATTGCATTAGTTTAGAGAAATGTATGTTATTTATCTTTGTGTAGCATAAGATTAATCAACCAATCAATGTACATGCAAAAACACAGATATTGAAACAAACAATTCTGAAAATCAACCTGCAATAGAGCATGCTGGGAAATATGCTGGGTTTTGAGTGTTTTACTCTACAAAGAGTAAAAACGACACAATCACACTCAACTCTGGTTATTAACCATAGACATTAAAACCAGTAGATAGTGATAGCGCTGACATCATCCATGTATTCCTATGGAAAACTCCCGATGGTGCATGAAGCCGAAAGTATTTCAATTTGAAAAGTGTCATATTGCTGAATGGGGCTGAATGGCACCAACAAATCGCTAAGGATCATGGTGAAAGTGGCCGTAACTAGCAAAGGATCATGGTCGATGTAGTTGTTTTCATCCTGCCTGAGTGAGTCAACCCAATGCTGCTAGATGACGTCGAAGTCAAAACTCCTCGTAGCCTGCTGGCCCGTGATTGGTCTGTGTCAGCACGTGGTCCTGTGTGACGACTAATCTAGTAGTCAGAACGGATCACTGTTTAATTAAATATCTCGATTTTTAGCGAACTTTAAAATAATTCACTGTGGAGTTCGAACTTGATCATAATAAAATGATTTTAGAGCCTAAAACGGGCGTCTACATAAATTTTTTTGAGGTCGTTCTGGCGATCGTAATTTACATCTTTCTAGGACAGACTAGGGCTTTTGGCACCACAAGGTTGCTACACAATAGCCGACCAGCAGAGCTTGTGACTTCACGCTCCAGACCGGACACTGGGATTCTATTACATCACTGAGTGTTAAGTTAATGTATCTTCTGAATCAATGCTAGAAAAGTTACACTGAAAAATCAACACAAGGTAAAAGTGGCCAATTTGCTGTGTACCATACAATACACTGCTGTATCACTTATACTCCCTTCTATTCTCATACTCTCTGCTCAATAAAATCACAGAAAATACTCATTTGAAAGACAGAAATCATGGCAAAAATATCAACTATGTCAGTACTGTATATGTAAAATGATTAAGGGAATACCAGACACATGCAGACACAGAAATATTCCCATATAGGTACAGTTTAAAACATGCTCGCACCTATCTTTTGAAATGTATCAGATTACTCAAACTCCTGATGGTCAAGTTTAAACACTGAGGTAAACAATAATGCTATTTCAAGAAATAAAAAATTATTACAATAAAACCTTCTTGCCTTTCAAATAATCTTTCTATATGTGTATATGACCAATACAATTTGATTTGATTTGATTCTAGCCTCCCAAATAATCATCAAAGAACCCTTTCTTCCAAAAACGGTTCTTAGGATGAAAAGGGTTCTAGGTATAACCCTTTGCCTTACAAAGAACCCTCGTCTTCCAAAAAGGGGTTTTCAAATGAAAATGGTTCTTGGTAGAACCCTATCCCTCCACAAAGAACCCTTTGGAACCCTTTTTTCTAAGAGTGTAGGTCTTTGAGAGGATTTTGTACTGATTGAATGCAAGAAGGATGTAAATGGATACGGTGATGAATTAATTGGACATGGTGTCACTCAAGGACCACTTGAAGACTGTGAAAGTGCCTGATGGTACCTGTGTGTTAAGACAACATTCCCCTCTCATTTGTGCAAATATTTGTGCCTAGGCAACCTTTCCAGAACAGCTCGATTACAGTTTTGCCTGGCAAATAACCAATGTTCCTCAAATGACAAAGAATCATTTGCCAGGCAAATGACAAACTTTCCTCCTGAGCTGCATCCTGGTAAACATAAATGTCACCATTTATAATTTCCAGAGATTACATCTCTCTCAGATATAAAACATGCTTGCAGATATTATAGTTAATCTTTAATGTTATCTTGTGCACCAATGCAGTATGCCCAAACATCTATTATGGTATTATACATGGTCTCTGATTCATAAATACATAGTCTTCCTAACATGCCTCACAGTTCTTTCCCATCCTGATTGATTTGTCAAGGCAGAATCTCACCCTTTTATTTTGTGTCCAATTTTCCACAACATGCAGTTTTCCTGAACGTTTGTGCCTTTTTTACTGCATGTTTCACAATGTTGTTATTTGAAGCTTTGAAGCTAGAATCCTTAATTGAAACAATAACAAAGGAGTCACCTCTGTTTCGGTAAAAAGCTGAGGGATGGGCCTGGATAAATGTAAACACTCTCAACTTCACAGACAGAGCAATGGATGCAAGGACTGACCATCCATGATATCAACATTACAGTTTTAACCATGTTTTGAGGCTATACAGGGTTTGTTTACATTTACATTGTGTACAAATATTGGAGTAAAACAAGCTAATATTTTGGGTTCTGATGGAGTATGACAGTTGAACTAAGCTCATGAGGCATTTATAAGTCATATTCTTCAAGAATTAATTGGTATATATAATTAATTTATAAGTCCAAAAATGGATGTAGAAACGAAGGATTCTAGCTTTAAACATGAATTATGTAGATTCGTTTATTTAATTATTTATTTTTGTTTCCAGATATTTCGCCGTGCAGACAAAAATGGTGAGTACAATTTCTGCTATTAATAAGATGGTCATGCTAATGATTTGCTTTATATGAAGTGTGTGTGCCTCAGTATGTTTACTCTTGCAATACTTAATTTAGCTGTTTGTTGGTGGTAATATTGTCTTATTACCAGCAACATAGAAAATAGAATTTGCAAGGGTTCAAAATGCAATGGTTAATAACTGATGTCGGAAATATCTTGAATTAGAACAAAAATCTGTCTTTAAAAACATCCTTAGTTGTTTGGGGCTCTTCATCAAATTAGTGATTCTAGTGTATAGCATGTACAGAAAATGAGGGACTCTGATGACTTCATTCTGAGAGACTTGCTAGATTCAAATCGAAGGCCTAGGGTAATGTTCTTTGGGTAATGTTCATCCTTGTTCATCGGATACAAAGCAGCTGAGCCTTATGTGTTTTGCTGGGAAATTTTTCAGACTTGGGAGCAAAACCTTGCAGCGATTGAAAAGGGGTGGTCTGTCTTATTATCTGGAACATGATGATTGACAGTGCATGCAATGTAGAGATTGAGGGATTGAGTAGATCCTCTTGACTGAGAATATTCATCATGCAATGCTCAAGTCAGTCATGCGTTCTGGTGTGCAAATTGTCAGTGGAAAACAACCACAACACTGCTTGTGTGTTCTTTGGACTGTATTGTTTGAAATTTGCATTTACCCTTCGTCATCTGAAAACTGGCTACTCCTCCACACCCCAGACAGATAATCTGCCCTTGGTTTGTCATATATTGTGCAAACATGGAAGAAAGCAACATGGTGGAAGAACACTGGAAATAGACCTGAAACAGTGAAATTAAATGCAGCACAAAACAATAGTAAACTAGATAGCATCCATGATCCATCCCCTTTAAACAAAATTGTTTCTTTTTTTAGATTGGTTTATCATTAACTTGAAAAACACATTGAAGCGTTTTGTAATTACAGTGACAAAAAGGAGTTTGTGTTTCCTCATGTTTTATTAATGCTTTGCATTAGAGTGTAATGGGATGAGAAATGTAATAAGGAAGGTGATTAATGCCTGAATAAACGCTGGACAGCTTCCTCTGTAGAGCGCTGTTTTAACACTGCACTCTCATATGGGCTCTTTCTCATTTTGTCTTTCCCCGATTCCTCGCATCCTCTCTCCTCGCCTCCTTCTCAAAACACATTAGATCAGAAAGCCTGAGGACAGGGACCTTGGTTCTTCTACTCCAATATGGACAGAAGGAGGCGAGGAAATAGGATGCGAGGAATCACTGAAACAAACCCTTGGTCAATCATGTCATCCAAAACATGCAGCCCTAAAAGATGCTCTTTTGCCGGTCGGGGAGATGGGCTTATGTGTATAGGAGAGGCAGAGGATATACAAATACTGACTTCCAGGAGAAAAGATGGACTCTTTTTTCATTATAGATTTGACCCGCCTCTGCCAGAGAGTGACCCTTTGGAGCGAGTCACTACAGTGGGGAGTAAACTAAACCTGTGGCTTACATAAAGGGCCTAATGTTGGACATTGATATGGAATAAATCGTTGCAATAATAAGCTTGGAATTCACATTAACGTGCTGCTATCTATTTTTTCTCGTAGCTCCTTAACAACCTGAAACGTTATGCTCTTGAAAAACAGCAAAGTGTTGCTTTTTCCACTCTGCTGTAAAAACAGAACTCAAGTGTATGTGTGTTGTGTTGGTTATCTTCAATTCGCAGCAAAAAAGCCCTCCATGGTATTCATCTAACTCGTTGAGTCGTGCACCCTGGAGGACAATCTCTCCTTCTGAGCAACACTGAGTGGGCTGCCATGATACACCGTGAGCACTGCGGATTTACCACATTATGAGAGCTGGAGACTTGCCATAGCAAATCCTTCTACCTATGCTATTGCAATAAATAATGTACTTTCTTAAGGAGCTCAACGATCTGCCATTTTCTCCATTTGGTCCAATGCATATCATAATGTGTTCAACACCCCCAAGCTATAAGACTCCTGAACAGCTAATCATGGCTACCCGGACTATTTGCATATTTGCATTTTTCTTAAAACTGCATTGTTGGTTAAGGGCTTGTAAGTAAGCATTTCACTGTAAGGTCTACTACACCTGTTGTATTCGGCGCATGTGGCAAATAAAATGTGATTTGATTTGACGACGAGGTCCACTTTTGCAGGATAGTTCAATTGGGTCATGAGAAAGTGACCTGTGCATCAAATGAAGGATTTTTACTAAATGCCACATAAGTGCCTTGGACATGGATTTCTGAGGGCCAATTGAGGCCATAACTCTGATGTGCCCTGGTCAGAAATAGTGTACCATGTGGGGAATAGACGACCATTTGAGAGGTATGTTATTGAGTGTGACGCCAAAGAGATAGGATTTGTCCATAACTAAGTATAACTTCATATACAAATGGAATATTTGCATGAAAAATCAACTCATGCACACAAAAGTACACTAAGTGTACAAAACATTAGGAACACCTTCCTAATCGTGAGTTGCACCCCCTTTTGCCCTCAGAACAGCCTCAATTCATCAGGGCATGGACTACAATGTGTCGAAAGCGTTCCACAGGGATGCTGGCCCATGTTGTCTCCAATGTTTCCCACAGTTGTCAAGTTGTCTGGATGTCCTTTGGGTGGTGAACCATTCTTGATACACACAGGAAACTGTTGAGAGTGAAAAACCCAGCAGCGTTGCAGTTCTTGACACACTCAAACCGGTGCGCCTGGCACCTACTACCATACCCCATTAAAAGGCACTTAAATCTTTTGTCTTGCCCATTCACCCTCTGAATGGCACACATACACAATCCATGTCTCAATTGTCTCAAGGCTTAGAAATCCTTCTTTAACCTGTCTCCTCCCCTTCATCTACACTGATTGAAGTGGAGTTAACAAGTGACATCAATAAGGGATCATAGCTTTCACCTGGATTCACCTGGTCAGTCTATGTCATGGAATGTTTTGTACACTCAGTGTAGATGCCTAATGACATATAGTATGACAATCCCTTGCATGCCCTGAAATACAAACATGATTTGTTCACTTAAAGCACATGGCTGGTGTTCAAATCCCTAAGACAGTTTTGGATATGTATCAACGTAACGTTGCCTCTACACTTTCCAGACGAGAAGAGAACATTCAGGTTTGTTCATTTTCTCGCTTATGTAAGAACCAATGACAAAGAATGCAATATTTATTGAATTTGATAATTTAATTATATGTGTTGAATAAGACATTGACATTTATTCATTTCCTAAATTGAGTTTAAATGGAATTGAACCCAACCCTGGTTCATTTGATTGATTGTTTTACTGTGCCATTGGAACAAAAAAGAATCCTATTGACAACTACAATATTCTACAACTTTCGTTGAAGAATATTAAAGCTCACACACCCGTACAGAAGGGGAAGACAGGAACATCTCAGAGACAAACAGCTCTTCAGTAGCTGATCTCGAAGCACATTAAAACTTGTTTTCAACCACTCCACACATTTTTTTGTTAACAAACTATAGTTTTGGCAAGTCGGTTAGGACATCTACTTTGTGCCTGACACAAGTATTTCCTTCATCACATTCCCAGTGGGTCAGAAGTTTACATACACTCAATTAGTAATGGGTAGCATTGCCTTTAAATTGTTTAACTTGGGTCAAACGTTTCGGGTAGCCTTCCACAAGCTTCCCACAATAAGTTGGGTGAATTTTGGCCCATTCCTCCTGACAGAGCTGGTGTAACTGAGTCAGGTTTGTAAGCCTCCTTGCTCGCACACGCTTTTTCAGTTCTGCCCACAAATGTTCTATAGGATTGAGGTCAGGGTTTTGTGATGGCCACTCCAATACCTTGACTTTGTTGTCCTTAAGCCATTTTGCCACAACTTTGGAAGTACGCTTGGGGTCATTGTCCATTTGGAAGACCCATTTGCGACCAAGGTTTAACTTCCTGACTGATGTATCCACATAATTTTTCTTCCTCATGATGCCATCTATTTTGTGAAGTGCACCAGTCCCTTCTGTAGCAAAGCGCACCCACAGCTTGATGCTGCCACCCCCGTGCTTCACGGTTGGGATGGTGTTCTTCGGCTTGCAAGATCCCCCTTTTTCTTCCAAACATGACGATGGTCATTATGGCCAAACAGTTCTATTTTTTTTCATCAGACCCGAGGACATTTCTCCAAAAAGTACGATCTTTGTCCCCATGTGCAGTTGCAAACCGTAGTCTGGCTTTTTTATGGCGGTTTTGGAGCAGTGGCTTCTTCCTTGCTGAGTGGCCTTTCAGGTTATGTCGATATAGGACTCGTTTTACTGTGGATATAGATACTTTTGTACCTGTTTCCTCCAGCATCTTCACAAGGTCCTTTGCTGTTGTTCTGGGATTGATTTGCACTTTTCGCACCAAAGTACGTTCATCTCTAGGAGACAGAACGCGTCTCCTTCCTGAGCGGTATGACAGCTGCGTGGTCCCATGGTGTTTATACTTGCGTACTATTGTTTGTACAGATGAACGTGGTACCTTCAGGCATTTGGAAATTGCTCCCAAGGATGAACCAGACTTGGTGAGGTCTACAATTGTTTTTCTGAGGTCTTGGCTGATTTCTTTTGATTTTCCCATGATGTCAAGCAAAGAGGCACTGAGTTTGAAGGTAGGCCTTGAAATACATCCACAGGTACACCTCCAATTGACTCAAATGATGTCAATTAGCCTATCAGAAGCTTCTAAAGCCATGACATCATTTTCTGGAATTTTCCAAGCTGTTTAAAGGCACAGTCAACTTAGTGTATGTAAATTAGTACAGACACCCTTTACATCCACTTCCAAACACTGAATAATTGTTTTCTTCTTCACTACACTAAGGTGATGGGGACAGTATATCTAAAACAGAGGTAAAAGACATGCAGTGTAGCTTGGCCAACTTGCTCTGGGTGAGAAATAGCAGTAGTCGTTGCTTAATCATAATAGCAATATAGCCCATCTCGATTGGGAACATGTTGCATAATGTGCAATCTGGACTATGTTGTCTGCTTACATATTCAGGCTAGTAATTGGGTGTGAAACTAGAACAAAGAGATTGAAGCATATGGAAACCTGGAAACCTGTGCATGGGAATGAGCTGAAAGCTCAACATTCAGTATTCGCACTAAGCACTTACTGTACTTATATGATTAAAGTAGAGCAGGCTTTGCATTTGGAATACTTTAGAGAAACGGTTGTGGTCCTTTATAGAATGTCATCATTTCCATTTGAGGTCAATTTGACCAGACCTACATTCTGGTACGACATAGGTCAAACAGTTTTCCTCTTCCAGGGCAGCAACATACCGTAATCTCTCTTCCTCAGATGCTCTAAAAGCAGCATTTCCAAATGCAGTTGTTTATAATAAATTAAGATATACAATATTAATTAATTAATGAAGCACACTTTCCTGACATTAATGTTTCTTACAGTGACTTGTCCTCAAATTAAATTGATGGCATGGCATGATGCCAGAATGATTGCAAATTTCCTAACAGATTATATTATGTACAGTAGGCCTAGCTGTCTGACGTCTCTTGACTGGCGGATCTCTATCTCAAATTTTATTTAAATCAATCAAATGTTATTTATAAAGCCCTTTTTACATCAGCAGATGTCACAAAGTGCTGTACAGAAACCCAACCTAAAACCCCAAACAGCAAGCAATGCAGATGTAGAAGCACGGTCTCTCAGAGCTGTCTCTAAGGAGAGTCGGCCATGTGGAGCAGAGCTGTAATAGATCTCATGAATCCACAGTCAGCCTGTCAGTGAGCCCAGACTGCTCTAACCACCCCACAGTCCACCTGACCATCCCTCGGGGCCTCCACAGGCTCTCTGCAGAGACTTACCATAGGAATACACTGTACTTAACATTGTTTTACAGACAAGTGTTTGTGACAGGGTCACATGGCTGCATATTTATTATCTTAAAGGGATAGCTCACTTTTTAAAAAACGTTTATTTGATTTTGACAAGCAATAAAAGTGAACGACCCCTTTAAGACTAAGAGAAGGTTGAAATATTAGAAGAGGAAGAGAATCAAATGGGATTGTCAAATGTCAATCATAATTAAAGTGTTCATCAAAGTTGTTGTTTCCATATCATTGGAGAGGATGAGAGACACTGTGATGTACTGTTAAGTAAGAAAGAAGAAGACAAAGAAAGGAGCAATCTGCTTTTTGCATACCTCAGTTTCAAGAGGAAAAACTCTTTGAAGTAAATATTGCCTAGAGAAATGGTTGCCATTGACAACAGTGGTTTTGTCTTCTTTATAAATAACTGAGAACATAGTTATGTGAAATAATTGGAATTTGAGATAAAGCCAGGCATGAAGAAAGATATTCCCAATCTATAATAATAATAAAATAATAATATGCCATTTAGCAGACGCTTTTATCCAAAGCGACTTACAGTCATGCGTGCATACATTTTTGTGTATGGGTGGTCCCGGGGATCGAACCCACTACCTTGGCGTTACAAGCGCCGTGCTCTACCAGCTGAGCTACAGAGGACCAACTCATTTATAGAGTGCACTCGACATGCTGAGTCTGAATGAGTTATTTTAGTTCCATTAACTTAAACAAATGCAGTCATGAATATTCCTTTATTCTCTTCTCTGTTTCAGCAGGTAGTTAATATGTCCCTCTTTTCCCTCTCTCAGACGACGGCAAGCTGTCCCTGGAGGAGTTCCAGTCGTACTTTGCCGACGGTATCCTCACCACGGAGCAGATGCAGGAGCTGTTCTATTCCATCGACAGGCAGCAGACTGAGTGAGTGCATCTCATCTGCCTCTGGGAATCCACCTTAGTCACCATCTGTAACTCTGCCACGCAGGGCGGGACGTCTACACTTCAAAGAGGATGTGTCAATATTTCATCAAGGGGGCATAGAATCTAGCGCATGAGCCCTAGTTTTAGTAGTCTAATGAGGGCTCCAGTAGGGGTGATGCGTGAAGCTTGAGGCTGAGAGTGTCCTAAAATGTACACCGTACAGCAGCATGTTTAGGGAAAGGGGGATACCTAGTCAGTTGCACAATTGAATGCATTCAACCGAAATGTATCTTCCGCATTTAACCCAACCCCTTTAAATCAGAGGTGCGGGGGGCTACCTTAATCGATATCGGCAACCGGGGAGCAATTGTTGCTGGGGGTTAACTGCCTTCCTCAAGGGCAGAACTGCAGATTTTTCCACTTTGCCGGCTCGGGGATTCAAACCAGCGACCTTTCGGTTACTGGCCCAACGCTCTTAATGCCCGTAACCACTTTATACACACAGAAGAATGGAATATAGAGAAAGGAAAGAAAGAAAGACTATGTGGTCAATCGATGTGCTCGTAATTAGAACCTTAGGTAAAGAAAAATAGAGGTGTAAGCCAGGGTTTCTCTGAAGACAACACATGCATTATACAATAACATACACATACTAGATAATGGTACTCTACACTCACATCCCCTTATGGCCCCATATGGCCCAAGGCCCTTACTGTTTCTCCACAGTGTCCTGATACCTAACCAACACCTCCTTGTATCTCCAGGGAACCTACAGTGAGGGAAAAAAGTATTTGATCCCCTGCTGATTTTGAACGTTTGCCCACTGACAAAGAAATTATCAGTCTATAATTTTAATGGTAGGTTTATTTGAACAGTGAGAGAAAGAATAACAACAACAAAATTCAGAAAAACGCATGTCAAAAATGTTATAAATTGATTTGCATGTTAATGAGGGAAATAAGTATTTGACCCCCTCTCAATCAGAAAGATTTCTGGCTCCCAGGTGTCTTTTATACAGGTAATGAGCTGAGATTAGGAGCACTCTATCTAATCGCAGTTTGTTACCTGTATAAAAGACACCTGTCCACAGAAGCAATCAATCAATCAGATTCCAAACTCTCCACCATGGCCAAGACCAAAGAGCTCTCCAAGGATGTTAGGGACAAGATTGTAGACCTACACAAGGCTGGAATGGGCTACAAGACCATCGCCAAGCAGCTTGGTGAGAAGGTGACAACAGTTGGTGCGATTATTCGCAAATGGAAGAAACACAAAATAACTGTCAATCTCCCTCGGCCTGGGGCTCCATGCAAGATCTCACCTCGTGGAGTTGCAATGATCATGAGAACGGTGAGGAATCAGCCCAGAACTACACGGGAGGATCTTGTCAATGATCTCAAGGCAGCTGGGACCATAGTCACCAAGAAAACAATTGGTAACACACTACGCCATGAAGGACTGAAATCCTGCAGCGCCCGCAAGGTCCCCCTGCTCAAGAAAGCACATATACAGAGCTGTCTGAAGTTTGCCAATGAACATCTGAATGATTCAGAGGAGAACTGGGTGAAAGTGTTGTGGTCAGATGAGACCAAAATCGAGCTCTTTGGCATCAACTCAACTCTCCATGTTTGGAGGAGTAGGAATGCTGCCTATGACCCCAAGAACACCATCCCCACCAACATGGAGGTGGAAACATTATGTTTTGGGGGTGTTTTTCTGCTAAGGGGACAGGACAACTTCACCGCATCAAAGGGACGATGGACGGGGCCATGTACCGTCAAATCTTGGGTGAGAACCTCCTTCCCTCAGCCAGGGCATTGAAAATGGGTCGTGGATGGGTATTCCAGCATGACAATGCCCAAAAACACACAGCCAAGGCAACAAAGGAGTGGTTCAAGAAGAAGCACATTAAGGTCCTGGAGTGGCCTAGCCAGTCTCCAGACCTTAATCCCATAGAAAATCTGTGGAGGGAGCTGAAGGTTTGAGTTGCCAAACGTCAGCCTCGAAACCTTAATGACTTGGAGAAGATCTGCAAAGAGGAGTGGAACAAAATCCCTCCTGAGATGTGTGCAAACCTGGTGGCCAACTACTAGAAACGTCTGACCTCTGTGATTGCCAACAAGGGTTTTGCCACCAAGTACTAAGTAATGTTTTGCAGATGGGTCAAATACTTATTTCCATCATTAAAATGCAAATCAATTTATAACATTTTTGACATGCGTTTTTCTGGATTTTTTTGTTGTTATTCTGTCTCTCACTGTTCAAATAAACCTACCATTAAAATTATAGACTGATCATGTCTTTGTCAGTGGGCAAAAGTACAAAATCAGCAGGGGATCAAATACTTTTTTCCCTCACTGTATCACAGGATAAAATGGTGGCTTTGCTCATAAAAATGATTTGACCTTTAAAGTATTTTGATTATATTTTCTGGACACTAATCCTCTCTGATTCTGTTAATGTTTTTGTCATCTTCTTCTGCTGACAATTTCCCTCCCTCTCAGCAACCTAGACATGGACACACTCTCAGGTAATTATCCCTGACTCTTCACTTTTGTTATTGACTGTGTGCTGTCAAAATGCTCTCTCAAGAACTTTACTTTTTAATCCCCTGTCTTTTACAGGATTTTAAATGTTATAAAGCCCTACGTGTTTTATGCCACTCAGTATACAAGTATTCAACATTGTACCCGACAGCTCTGTATCTCTACTCCCCAGAATTCTTCTCTCCACACCTGGGGGAATATCTGAACGTCCTGTCTGCTCTGGAAAAGCTGAACGTCGCCATCTTAAAGGCCATGGACACAACTAAAGAGGTTTGTGGCCAATACAGTACAGCATGTTTAAAGGGATAGTTCAGTGAAATTACATGTTGAGATATTTGTTTCCTTACCTCGAAAGCAGTCTATGGACAAGGTGTGACTGCTATCCATACTTTGCTTTTGTTAAAATGACCACGGCCAACAAATGCTAATATTGCTGAACTATCTCTTTAAGCTTTTACATTAGAATCAACTTTTAGTGGTAACTGCAGCTCTCATAACTCATTTGGTAAGAGAAACTCACTTGGCCGTCTCTTTCCATTACATTTTGCTGTTGTTATAGCTTTTGCCGTCACACACGTTTCATGTGTTGATGTCTACTGAGAATTTGAAGTAAACAGCAACACAATAGCCAGTTTTGCCTTTATTCGCTTATGACATTTAAACCACTTTTCCCCTGTAGGATTTAGGGTAGGCTTTTGTTAGTGCCATAAGCCTATGAGATCTCTCAGCTGTGATGGTGATATGACAGTATGGAAAGTGGATATGCACTACTTAGTCCTCTTGCTCTTTCTGTTTGAACACACTGATGTGGCATTTTAAAACGACAGGCTGAAATACCCCTGCAGGGACCCCTCACTTACATTTCAACTATGACTCCAGTTCAGGTATTTTCATTGTAAACTTTGGAATGAAATGTGGTGTCGGTCTGAGGACCGACCTATCTCTAGTTGGACAGGTGCTGTAAATACGGTAGTCCTTTAAGCAAAATTCCCTCCAAACCCAGCAAACAACTTCTGGTTGGTCATTTCTGGCATTTATAACTACTCTCAGGGTCCAAGCATAAAGTAAAGCATATAAAACCATGGCTGTCTTCTCTGTCAGGGCATTGCTTGCCAATACGAGACATCACTTCAAAGATTCATGCTTGGTTATGAAGAAACCAGCTAAAAAGAGCATTGGCAAGTGGTTTACAATTTCTGAAATTTATTTTTGATGTACAGTGCATTCAGAAAGTGTTCAGACCCCTTCACTTTTTCAACATTTTGTTACAGTACAGCCTTATTCTAAAATGGCTTACAATACCCCATAATGAGAAAGTGAAAACAGGTTTTTAGAAATGTTTGCTAATTATAAAAAATAAAAAACAGAAATACCTTGTTTACATAAGTATTCAGACCTTTTGCTATGAGACTCGAAATTGAGCTCAGGTGCATCCTGTTTCCAATGATCATCCTTGAGATATTTCTACAACTTGATTGGAGTCCACCTGTGGTAAATTCAATTGATTGGACATTATTTGGAAAGGCACACATCAGTCTATGTAAGGTCCCACAATTGACAGTGCATGTCAGAGCAAACACCAAGCCATGAGGTCAAAGGAATTGTCCGTAGAGCTCCGTGACAGGATTTTGTCGATGCACAGATCTGGGGAAGGGTACAAAAAAATTCTGCAGCAATGAAGGTCCCCAAGAACACAGTGGCCTCCATCAATCTTAAATGGAGGTGACCAAGAACCCAATGGTCACTCTGACAGAGCTCCAGAGTTCCTCTGTGGAGATGGGAGAACCTTCCAGAAGGTCAACCATCTCTGCAGCACTCCACCAATCAGGCCTTTATGGTAGAGTTGCCAGACGGAAGCCATTCCTCAGTAAAAGGCACATGACAGCCAGCTTGGAGTTTGCCAAAAGGCACCAAAAGGAGTCTCAGACCATGAGAAACAAGATTCTATGGTCTGATGAAACCAAGATTGAACTCTTTGGCCTAAATGCCAAGCGTCACGTCTGGAGGAAACCTGGCACCATCCCTAAAGTGAAGCATGGTGGTGGCAGCATGATGCTGTGGGGATGTTTTTCAGTGGCAGGGATGGGGAGACTAGTCAGGATCGAGGGAAAGATGAACAGAGCAAAGTACAGAGAGGGGCGAAGGTTCACCTGCCAACAGGACAACGACACTAAGTACACATCCAAGACAATGCAGTAGTGGCTTCGAGACAAGTCTCTGAATGTCCTTGAGTGGCCCAACCAGAGCCCGGACTTGAACCCGATTTAAAATCTCTGGAGACACCTAAAAATAGCTGTGCAGCGACGCTCCCCATCCAACCTGAGAGAGCTTGAGAGGATCTGCAGAGAAGAATGGGAGGAACTCCCCAAATACAGGTGTGCCAAGCTTGTAGCGGCATACCCAAGAAGACTCGAGGCTGTAATCGCTGCCAAAGGTGCTTCAACAAAGTACTGAGTAAAGGGTCTGATTACTTATGTAAATGTGATATTTCAGGTGTGTTTTTTGTAAATAAATGTGCAAAAATTTCTAAAAACCTGTTTTTGCTTAATTCATTATAGGTTATTGTGTGTAGATTGATGAGGGGCAAAAAACTATTAAATCCATTTTAGAATAAGGCTGTAACGTAACAAAATGTGGAAAAGGTGAAGGGGTCTGAATACTTTCCGAATGCACTGTAAATGGCTTGATCAAATGAATTTACAAACATAACTCTTGAGAGTCCTGCCCATCACCAACGTCTAAAATCAAATCAAACGCTGTGTGTGTCACTCTACACTCTCTCCTCCTCCACTGACGATACTGTCTGCACACACTAGAGTATCTAGCGTCCTGCCAGTGCATTCGGAAAGTATTCAGACCCCTTGACTTTTTAAAATGGATTAAATAAAAACATTTCCTCATCAATCTACACACAATACCCCATAATGACAAAGCAAAAACTGGTTTTTAGAAATTGACATGATTTGGAAAGGCACACACCTGTCTATATACAGTGAGGGAAAAAAGTATTTGATCCCCTGCTGATTTTGTACGGTTGCCCACTGACAAAGAAATGATCAGTCTATAATTTTAATGGTAGGTTTATTTGAACAGTGAGAGACAGAATAACAACAAAAAAATCGAGAAACAAGCATGTCAAAAATGTTATAAATTGAATTGCATTTTAATGAGGGAAATAAGTATTTGACCCCCTCTCAATCAGAAATATTTCTGGCTCCCAGGTGTCTTTTATACAGGTAACGAGCTGAGATTAGGAGCACACTCTTGAAGGGAGTGCTCCTAATCTCAGTTTGTTACCTGTATAAAAGACACCTGTCCACAGAAGCAATCAATCAATCAGATTCCAAACTCTCCACCATGGCCAAGACCAAAGAGCTCTCCAAGGATGTCAGGGACAAGACTGTAGACCTACACAAGGCTGGAATGGGCTACAAGACCATCGCCAAGCAGCTTGGTGAGAAGGTGACAACAGTTGGTGCGATTATTCGCACATGGAATAAACACAAAATAACTGTCAATCTCCCTCGGCCTGGGGCTCCATGCAAGATCTCACCTCGTGGAGTTGCAATGATCATGAGAACGGTGAGGAATCAGCCCAGAACTACACGGGAGGATCTTGTCAATGATCTCAAGACAGCTGGGACCATAGTCACCAAGAAAACAATTGGTAACACACTACGCCGTGAAGGACTGAAATCCTGCAGCGCCCGCAAGGTCCCCCTGCTCAAGAAAGCACATATACAGGGCCGTCTGAAGTTTGCCAATGAACATGTGAATGATTCAGAGGAGAACTGGGTGAAAGTGTTGTGGTCAGATGAGACCAATATCGAGCTCTTTGGCATTAACTCAACTCGCCGTGTTTGGAGGAGGAGGAATGCTGCCTATGACCCCAAGAACACCATCCCCACCGTCAAACATGGAGGTGGAAACATTATGCTTTGGGGGTGTTTCTCTGCTATGGGGACAGGACAACTTCACCGCATCAAAGGGACGATGGATGGGGCCATGTACCGTCAAATCTTGGGTGAGAACCTCCTTCCCTCAGCCAGGGCATTGAAAATGGGTCGTGGATGGGTATTCCAGCATGACAATGACCCAAAACACACGGCCAAGGCAACAAAGGAGTGGCTCAAGAAGAAGACATTAAGGTCCTGGAGTGGCCTAGCCAGTCTCCAGACCTTAATCCCAAAGAAAATCTGTGGAGGAAGCTGAAGGTTCGAGTTGCCAAACGTCAGCCTCAAAACATTAATGACTTGGAGAAGATCTGCAAAGAGGAGTGGAACAAAATCCCTCCTGAGATGTGTGCAAACCTGGTGGCCAACTACAAGAAACGTCTGACCTCTGTGATTGCCAACAAGGGTTTTGCCACCAAGTACTAAGTAATGTTTTGCAGAGGGGTCAAATACTTATTTCCCTCATTAAAATGCAAATCAATTTATAACATTTTTGACATGCGTTTTTCTGGATTTTTTTGTTGTTATTCTGTCTCTCACTTCAAATAAACCTACCATTAAAATTATAGACTGATCATGTCTTTGTCAGTGGGCAAAAGTACAAAATCAGCAAGGGATCAAATACTTTTTTCCCTCACTGTAAGGTCCCATTGTTGACAGTGCATGTCAGAGCAAAAACCAAGCCATGAGGTCTGAATACTTTCCGAATGCACTGTATATATACTGAACAAAAATATAAATGCAACATGTAAAGTTTTGGTCCGATGTTTCATGAGCTAAAGTAAAAGATCCCAGAAATGTTCCATATGCACAAAAAGCTTATTTCTCTCAAATGTTGTTCACACATTTGTGTACATCCCTGTTAGTGAGCATTTCTCCTTTGCCAAGATAATCCATCCACCTGACAAGTGTAGCATATCAAGAAGCTAATTAAACAGCATGATCATTACACAGGTGCACCTTGTGCTGGGGACAACAAAAGGCCACTCTAAAATGTGCAGTGTTGTCACACAACACAATGCCACAGATGTCTCAATTTTTGGTGTGCTGACTGCAGGAATGTCCACCAGAGCTGTTGCCAGAGAATTTGATGTTCATTTCTCTACCATAAGCCGCCTCCAATGTCATTTTAGAGAATTTGGAAGTACGTCCAACCGGCCTCACAACCGCAAACCACGTGTAACCACGCCATCCCAGGACCTCAACATCTGGCTTCTTCACCTGCAGGATCATCTGAAACCACCCACCCGGACAGCTGATGAAACAGTGGGTTTGCACAATCGAAGGATTTCTGCAGTTTCAATTGTTTCAACTGTATCGGGCAGATGGCAGACAGCGTGTCTGGCGTCGTCTGGGTTTGCCAATGTCAACGTTGTGAACAGAGTGCCCCATGGTGGCGGTGGGGTTCTAGTATGGGCAGGCATAAGCTATGGACAACAAACACAATTGCATTTAATCGATGGCAATTTGAATGCACAGAGATACCGTGATGAGATCCTGAGGCCCATTTCATCCACCGCCATTACCTCATGTTTCAGCATGATAATGCACGGCCCCATGTCGCAAGGATCTGTACACAATTCCTGGAAGCTGAAAATGTCCCAGTTCTTCCATGGCCTGCATACTCACCATACATGTCACCCATTGAGCATGTTTGAGATGCTCTGGATCGACGTGTACGACAGCGTGTTCCAGTTCCCGCCAATATCCAGCAACTTCGCACAGCCATTGAAGAGGAGTGGGACAACATTCCACAGGCCACAATCAACAGCCTGAACAACTCTATGTGAAGGAGATGTGTTGCGCTGCATGAGGCAAATGGTGGTCACTCCAGATACTGACTGGTTTTCTGATCCATGCCCCTACTTTTTTTTAAAGGTATCTGTGACCAACAGATGCGTATCTGTATTCCCAGTCATGTGAAATCCATAGATTAGGGCCTAATGAATTCATTTCAATTGACTGATTTTGTTATATGAACTGTAACTCCGTAAAATCTTTGAAATTGTTGCATGCTGCGTTTATATTTTTATTAAGTGTATTTGCTCCGTGGTGCACATTGGAAGGAACCACTTACTAGGGAGAATAGTAAGTGGTTCCACTGACAGATATTTCTTGAAATTATTATGATAAAACATGAGCTTAAAAATCAAGTGTAGTAATTATTTTAACATCTGAATATTGTATTAAAAAAAATATCTGATGGGGCACGTGCCCTTGTGTCCCCTATGGGCATGACACCATTGAATATAACGTTGTGGATAAAGTTTAGAATTACACAATTTCATATCTACAACATCTAAAGGCCTACATCACTATACTGAGAGCATGTCTGTTTCTAAAAGGACGTATTTGGTTTCTTTGGGAGCCTTTGTTAATGTATTTTGGTCACCCCCACAGTACACAACGAGCAATGAGGAAGTTTATTGCAGCTGGGGTAAGTTTCTCGAAAACAAGTGAAATCACAAAAAAAAGTGTCTGCACCCTTCTATAACTGCCATTTACATAAAAATAGAGATTCCCTTCAGAAAAAGTAAACCACTCCTTTAAGACATGAAAGCAGAACGGTGTTAATTTGGTGTGATCTATAGAGATATCCTGCTCATAGCACATACAGAGGCAGACTGGAGCACTGGATGATAATGAGATTATTGTTTTGATAAACATGGTGTTCAGATCAAAGAACCTGCCATAAAATGAAATCGATAACATGCTTAAGCTTCATCAGTCTAATCCTTGATGTTGGGATCAGGCTAATCTGTGGTGTGGATGGATGCAGATGGAACATTATTGATTGGTCTATGCTATGCTGTGAATCCCAATCCCCACTATTTGTGTCGAAATTGCTATACAGATGTAGGATTTTAATTTGATCCGTTTTTCACAGCATGAAAATAAAGTGGAAATTACAAATTTAAGAAACTTCGGAAAGGTATAATCTTGAGCGGAGGGAGCATAGATGGAACAGCCAGGCAGGGAGGTAGAAACATCCCACTGGGCACAAACTGGTTGAATCAACGTTGTTTCAATGAAATTTGTCAACGTATTGTGATGTGGAATCTATGTGGAAAATACATTGGATTTGAAAAAAGTAATCAACTGTTGTTTTGAGGGTGAAATTTCAACCACAGGATTACGTCATCTTGGCAACCAATTTTCAACATTGAAAACCTTGTATAAAATGTTGAAGTTTTACCTTTGAAACAACGTCAGATCTTCAACGTTATATCCACTATCTGAAAAAACAATAGGTTGCGCCCTGCTTAGCTTTGATATCTGTCACTGACTACTACCAAAGTGCTATCTTGGGATGATTATTGAGAGAGCTCTTAATAACTCAATAGATTCCCCGTTGCTATCGAAGTTATTCCAAAGGGTAGATTTAACAGAGCAAATTAAATGTAACCATACATTATAAGTCATGTATCATTAATATTTAGGCCTGTATGGCATTTGTGAAGCCATCAACAGCTATTGTTTAATTTCAACCCAGGGTTCAACTAAAAATAGAAATTACATATAGGCCTAGGGTTTCAAGCTTTGGTTGATTTGAAATGTTATCTTCAAGTTGTTAATTCATATGTTAGATTCACGTCTCCATCTAAACCAAAAAGTTAAAGAATAGGACTAAATCAAATAAAACTTTATTTAAAGTGCATTTAAAGTTTGATTTGATTTAGTCCTATTCTTTAACTTTGATTTTTGATTGAGATGGAGATGTGAATCCAACATATAAATTATTAATCTGTAGACAAACTGGATATTGAATTGTGTTTGGTTGTCAACGCAACAAATGTCAATATTTGAAGATATATCTTCTGCAAAATAGTTCCATCTGTGCCACTGACTTAGTCTGGCTTTAATTCCAGTTTTCTACAAATTAATAATTGATATGTTGGATTCACTTCTCCATCGCAACTGAAAATCAAAGTTAAAGAGTAGGACTAAATCAAATCAATTATTCTTTAAAGGTGCTACGCATTGTAATTTCAGAAAATGTCCATAATATACACTACATGACCAAAAGTATGTGGATAACTGCTCATCAAACATCTCATTCCAAAATCATGGGCATTAATATGGAGTTTGTCCCCACTTTGCTGCTATAACAGCCTCTACTCTTCTGGGAAGGCTTTCCACTAGATGTTGGAACATTGCTGCAGGGACTTGCTTCCATTCAGCCACAAGAGCATTAGTGAGGTCGGGCACTGATATTGGGCCATTAGGCCTGGCTCCGATTCATCCCAAAGGTGTTCGATGGGGTTGAGGTCAGGGCTCTGTGCAGGCCAGTAAAGTTCTTCCACACCAATCTCGACAAACCATTTCTGTATGGACCTCGCTTTGTGCACGGGGGCATTGTCATGCTGGAACAGGAAAGGGCCTTCCCCAAACTGTTGCCACAAAGTTGAAAGCACAGAATCGTCTAGAATGTCATTGTATTCTGTAGCATTAAGATTTCCCTTCAATGGAACTAAGGGGTCTAGCCCGAACCATGAAAAACAGCCCCAGACCATTATTCCTCCTCCACCAAACTTTACAGTTGGCACTATGCATTGGGGCAGGTAGCGTTCTCCTGGCATCCGCCAAACCCAGATTCATCCGTCGGACTGCCAGAGGGTGAAGCATGATTCATCACTCCAGAGTCCAATGGCGGCGAGCTTTACACCACTCCAGCCGACACTTGGTGATTTTAGGCTTGTGTGCGGCTGCTCGGCCATGGACAACCATTTCATGAAGCTCCCGATGAACAGTTCTTGTGCTGACGTTGCTTCCAGAGGCAGTTTGGAACTCGGTAGTGAGTGTTGCAACTGAGGACAGACGATTTTTACGCGCTACTTGCTTCAGCATTCGGCGTCCCGTTCTGTGAGCTTGTGTGGCCTACCACTTCGCGGCTGAGCCATTGTTGCTCCTAGATGTTGCCACTTCACAATAACAGCATTTACAGTTGACCGGGCAGCTTTAGCAGGGCAGAAATTTGACGGACTGACTTGTTGGAAAGGTGGCATCCTATGATGGTGCCACATTGAAAGTCACTGAGCTCTTCATAAGGCCATTCTACTGCCAATGTTTGTCTGTGGAGATTTCATGGCTGTGTGCTCGATTTTATACACCAGTCAACAACGGGTGGGGCTGAAATAGCTGAATCCACTATTTTGAAGGGGTGTCCACATACTTTTGTATATATACTGTATCTGGCGCTAATAGTGGAAGGATAGTGTTTCACAGTATTACTTACCCACCAGTGTTGTGATTGGCTGTGATATTCGCCTATTGATTTCTCCCGCCGAAGCGGCATCTGTTGTCAAAATGTTCTGACTTAGTGGATGTGTTATCTAGTGGAAATCGCTCTGTCATTCCTGGTTGCAAAAATTCTACACTGTTCGCTCAATTTCAGTTGATGTGACAAAACAATGGAATCATTGTACCATCTAAATCGCTGTGAAACATATTATCCATAACAAAACATTGTGTTTTTACAGCTGTTTGAAGTTGGTGGACCAAAACTGAAAGTTACAAGTTACTTTCAGTTTTGGCCCACCAGCTTCAACCAGCGGTTTTGGTCCATCAGCTCCAACAGTTGAAAAAACAATATTTTTTGCTATAAAAAATATATTTCACAGCAATTTAGATGGTACAATGATTACCTACACTAGTCAGTGCTTATTTTCTCACATAAACCTAAATTGAGCGAACAGTGTAGAATTCTTGCAACCAGGAAGTGATTTCCACTAGATAACACGGCCACAGTCAGAAGAGCTTTCACATTTTGACAACAGATGCCGCTCCGGCGGGAGAATAGGCGAATATAACAGCCAATCACAACACTGGCGGGTAAGTAATACTGTGAAACACTATCATTCCAGTATTACTGAAGATACTGTATATTATGGACATTTTCTGAAATTACAATGCAACATTTCAACAACAACAAAATCCTCTGTAGCACCTTTAACTTATATTTTTGGTTGAGATGGAGACGTGAATCCAACGTATCAATTATTAATTTGTAGACAAACTGGAATTAAAGCCAGACTAAGTCAGGGGCACAAAAGATACATCTCCTTCAAATGTTGATATTTTGTTGCGTTGAAAATCAAACACAATTCAATATCGCTTTTGTAATAAATGAAATAGCCTAAAGTTAAAGCTATCTTACAAACTAATGTAACTTAAAGTGAGTGAGTGGCGCAGTGGTCTAAGGCGCCGCATCGCAGTGCTAACTGTGCCACTAGAGATCCTGGTTCGAATCCAGGCTCTGTCGCAGCCGGCCGCGACCGGGAGACTCATGGGCGGCGCACAATTGGCCCAGGGTAGGGGAGGGAATGGCCGGCAGGGATGTAGCTCAGTTGATAGAGCATGGCGTTTGCAACGCCAGGGTTGTGGGTTCGATTCCCACGGGGGGCCAGTATAAAAAATAAAAAATAAAATAAAAAAATGTATTCACTAACTGTAAGTCGCTCTGGATAAGATGTAGCGAATGGTGGTAACGTCAGATACTGACTGGTTTTCTAGGGGCGTGGTGATCCACGCCCCTACCTTTCTGTTTAAAGTATCTGTGACCAACAGATGCGTATCTGTATTCCCAGTTATGTGAAATCCATAGATTAGGCCCTAATGAGTTTATTTCAATTGACAGATTTCCTTATATGAACTGTAACTCAGTAAAATCTTTTAAATTGTTGCATGTTGCGTTTATATTTTTGTTCAGTGAATATAAGCTAAACAGACTTGCCATAATCAGTCTTGCAATTCCGTGAATCACCACCCAATGTTTCAGTTAATCTCTCAAGAAGTTATCAAAAACCAAAAAAGTAAAAAAAACGCTTTAAGAGGCACAATGCAGAAATTGCTCCGCCATTTCCTGGTTGCTAAAATTCGAATCGTTCGCCTAATTTCAAGTATCGTGTAGTGAATCATTGTACCATCTAAACCGCTGTGAAATGTCCTCTGTAGCTCAGTTGGTAGAGCATGGCTCTTACAACGCCAGGGTTGTGGGTTCGTTTCCCACGGGGGGCCAGTATGAAAATGTATGCACTCACTAACTGTAAGTCGCTCTGGATGAGAGCGTCTGCTAAATGACTAAAATGTAAATGTAAATGTAAAATATATTTTCCATAAACAAAAATATTGCATTTTCAGCTGTTTGAAGCTGGTATACAAAACCGAAAGTCAAAGACGGGAAGCATAGAAATAGCGCACATAGAACATATCTACCGCTTCTTAGACTTGCTTTCAATGTGTCACGTTCGTTGAAGGACGGGTCAGACCAAGGCGCAGCGTGATATACGTACATGTTTATTTACTCGCACCAGACCAGTGGTGCGTTTGTCCAGTCCGGCACAACTGTGAGAGACTGAATCTAAAACAAAAATCCAGAAAATCACATTGTATGATTTTTAAGTAATTCATTTGCATTTTATTGCATGACATAAGTATTTGATACATCAGAAAAGCAGAACTTAATATTTGGTACAGAAACCTTTGTTTGCAATTACAGAGATCATACGTTTCCTGTAGGTCTTGACCAGGTTTGCACAGACTGCAGCAGGGATTTTGGCCCACTCCTCCACACAGACCTTCTCCAGATCCTTCAGGTTTCGGGGCTGTCGCTGGGCAATACGGACTTTCAGCTCCCTCCAAAGATTTTGTATTGGGTTCAGGTCTGGAGACTGGCTAGGCCACTCCAGGACCTTGAGATGCTTCTTACGGAGCCACTCCTTAGTTGCCCTGGCTGTGTGTTTCGGGTCGATGTCATGCTGGAAGACCCAGCCACGACCCATCTTCAATGCTCTTACTGAGGGAAGGAGGTTGTTGGCCAAGATCTCGCGATACATGGCCCCATCCATCCTCTCCTCAATACGGTGCAGTCGTCCTGTCCCCTTTGCAGAAAAGCATCCCCAAAGAATGATGTTTCCACCTCCATGCTTCACGGTTGGGATGGTGTTCTTGGGGTTGTACTCATCCTTCTTCTTCCTCCAAACACGGCGAGTGGAGTTTAGACCAAAAAGCTTTATTTTTGTCTCATCAGACCACATGACCTTCTCCCATTCCTCCTCTGGATCATCCAGATGGTCATTGGCAAACTTCAGACGGGCCTGGACATGCGCTGGCTTGAGCAGAGGGACCTTGCGTGCGCTGCAGGATTTTAATCCATGACGGCGTAGGGTGTTACTAATGGTTTTCTTTGAGACTGTGGCCCCAGCTCTCTTCTGGTCATTGATCAGGTCCTGCCGTGTAGTTCTGGGCTGATCCCTCACCTTCCTCATGATCATTGATGCCCCACGAGGTGAGATCTTGCATGGAGCCCCAGACCGAGGGTGATTGACCGTCATCTTGAACTTCTTCCATTTTCTAATTATTGTGCCAACAGTTGTTGCCTTCTCACCAAGCTGCTTGCCTATTGTCCTGTAGCCCATCCCAGCCTTGTGCAGGTCTACAATTGTATCCCTGATGTCCTTGCACAGCTCTCTGGTCTTGGCCATTGTGGAGAGGTTGGAGTCTGTTTGATTGAGTATGTGGACAGGTGTCTTTTATACAGGTAACGAGTTCAAACAGGTGCAGTTAATACAAGTAATGAGTGGAGAACAGGAGGGCTTCTTAAAGAAAAACTAACAGGTCTGTGAGACCCGGAATTCTTACTGGTTGGTAGGTGATCAAATACTTATGTCATGCAATAAAATGCAAATTAATTACTTAAAAATCATACAATGTGATTTTCTGGATTTTTGTTTTAGATTCCGTCTCTCACAGTTGAAGTGTACCTATGATAAAAATTACAGACCTCTACATGCTTTGTAAGTAGGGAAACCTGCAAAATCGGCAGTGTATCAAATACTTGTTCTCCCCACTGTACATGTTTATTTACACTGAATAAACACCATGACAAAACAACAAAGGAAACGAAACATGAAGTCCAAGGTAGAACACACAACATACCTTACAAGGAACAAGATCCCACAACTAAACAGTGCCAATAGGCTGCCTAAGTATGGTCCCCAATCAGAGACAACGAGTGACAGCTGCCTCTGATTGGGAACCACACCGGCCAACATAGATCCATACATACTAGATCCTATACATAGAACTACACAACCTAGAATATACACACCCTGACTCAACATATAAGAGTCCCCTGAGTCAGGGCGTGACACAATGAGAATGACAGATCTATAACACACATTTCTATGTGAATTTGGTCGGGTGCCCAAAAAGTTACATATTGCAGCTTGAAAAACAAAATATGTATAATATTTACAGATCTTTCTGCCAGGGTTGCCAGGTCTTGCTAACATTTCTAGCCCAATGACCACTCAAAACCTACCCACAAGGCTTGAAAAGTAGCCCCATTTTTTGGGGTCGCAGCAAGAGATGTGTTGCCACATTTACAACTGGTAAAATCACTTTAAGACGTATGTTTTTTTTTCTCCAGAAAACATTATTGTGAAATGGTGTTCATACAATGTTAAACATTGTTAAATAAGGATAATACAAGTCACATTACTCCAAAATAATAATATTTTCAACTGGAGTATAAAAATCGATAAGCCCCAACAGTTTGCTTTTTGGCTTCTTTTTGTCCCAGTCATCAATCCCTCTGGAGCAAGAAGGAAAGGAAAGAGAGAGAGAGGAGATCCATCATGAGTCCAGTACATCAAGAGAGTTTTATTCTACTATTAATCAATCACTACTATAATTTGAAAGTAAGTAATGGAATTAATTGGTTCCTCTCTGTCCTCACCACTGCACCACTGCACCACTCTCTCTCTCCTCTGACTTCAACTTTCTGGCCAATGTTAGCTAGCTACGGGGCTCGAGACTTTTTTCATCACCGTACCAGAATCGTCTCGAAGTGCAATTTAAAACGTCCCAAATTGCAGATTAACTGTCCCAAATTAAAATTTGGTGTGAAAACCGCAATGCCATGGCAACCACAGAACTAGTAGAACTGCACCAGAGCTACACGGCGCCATGGCAACCACATAACTATTAGAAATGCACCAGAGCTACTCAGCTGTTCTCCCCATCTCCCCTTCTCTCTCCATATCTATTTCTTTCTACCTCTTTCACACAGTCCCTCTTCGCCTTTTCCATTCTGTCATTAATCTGCCCAACATCAGTTTTGATTCACTCAAGGAGAGGTTATTGCCTGAAGGGCTGTACTGAGATCAGATTTGCCTTCCCTAGTCCTAGCCTTGACTATTGCTTATTCAAAAACAAACTGGCCTTGGAGCATAAGAGCTTGAGTACAACTCCTATCAACATTCCTCTTTATATCTCAGAAGTGATGTCAATAAGTCCCCTCTCGGGACACTAAAGTGGGGGTGAATATCTGTGTCGCTCTACAGCCATGGTTCTGATAACATTCAATCCAATTCAAACATTTCAACAGTCCTGGGCACATTATTCAAAAAGTGTCAGAGTAAGAATGCCGATTTAGGATTACGTCCCCCCCTGTCCATACAATCATATTCAGTATGATCTAAAAGGTAAAACTGGTCCTATATCAGCACTCCTACTCTGATCTTATAGAAATTGGAGCATGCATTTTTATCCATGTCTATAATTATGTTCTCTCTTCCAGTGGAGTGCTGAGATAAAAATATAAAAAATAAATAAAAAACTATTTTCAACAGAAATTCTCAACTCTGGCTTTCTGTCGAGAAGAGAAAGGAAGTAAAACGAAAATAGAATAGTGTTCATTATTCATGAAGTGTTCAGCACACTGGGAGGGAGCAGGAAAACATTGGAGAGGAGGGAATGAAGGAATACAATAAACTGTTTCCATAGGTTGCAATTTTTCAAAATACAGCACACTTTCAAGGCTTTGCACACTCAATTTCGATAACTTAATTTCATAGGGCCATTGGGGCTTTTTCAGTACTAACAAAAATGTAACTGAAAAAAATGAAACTGAATCATAAAGAGATCAGTGCGAACACAGCAGGCTTTCTCAGCTACTATAAATCAGGGTCCTCCAATGAAATGATGAGTGCAGTAAAACAAAACAAAAGGATCATTAACAATATTTTTACCATCATGTTACTTGTCACACACCATTACACATGGCACCTGCCACTGTAACATGTTAACCTTTAGCACATTTAAGATCAATTTAGCAAATTATTGGTGTGTGAAATTCCTCAAAGTCACACAGGCTGGGATTCGGTCTAGTGCCGATAGAAGATTTCCGGATAGTGCTGTCAGAAGTGAATGCAATTGATTTGCACAGCAGCATGTCCTGGGTGGAGGGTATACACTGAGTGGACAAAACATTAGGAACATCTGACATAGACTGACCAGGTGAATCCAGGTGAAGGCTATGATCCCTTATTGATGTCACTTGTTAAATCCACTTCAATCAGTGTAGAAGGGGAGGAGGGTTACATAGAGGTTACATGGTTTACATGGAGGAAATTGGACCTCTCTGAAAAGAAAATGGTTGACCCTCCATTCAACAAAATATATTTTACCTAAACCCTCCCTGAACGCTTGAAAAAAAACAAGTGACCCTCCACTATACCAAAAATAATAATTTAAAACCAAGTGGATCGCAGAGAACATGTCTACCGTTTATCCTGACTTCTTGGACAGACCAGAGCTTTAGATATGCAGTTTTAGAAACTGTTCTTCGTCCTGTAAGCGTTACATGGCAACGCGGGAATTTTGATAGCGCACAGGGCTGCGGGCCAGAAGGCTGTGGGTTCGCAGACCACCGTGGACAAGAGTAGGGGTGGAAAGATCTACAGTTGAAGTTTACATACACCTTAGCCAAATACATTTAAACTCAGTTTTTCACAATTCCTGACATTTAATCCTAGTAAAAATTCCCTGTCTTAGGTCAGTTAGGATCACCACTTTATTTTAAGAATGTGAAATGTCAGAATAATACTAGAGAGAATGATTTATTTCAGCTTTTATTTCTTTCATCACATTCCTAGTTTGTCAAAAGTTTACATACACTCAATTAGTATTTGGTAGCATTGCCTTTAAATTGTTTAACTTGGGTCAAACGTTTTGGGTAGCCTTCCACAAGCTTCCCACAATAAGTTGGGTGAGTTTTGGCCCATTCCTCCTGACAGAGCTGGTGTAACTGAGTCAGGTTTGTAGGCCTCCTTGCTCGCACACGCTTTTTCAGTTCTGCCCACAAATGTTCTATAGGATTGAGGTCAGGGTTTTGTGATGGCCACTCCAATACCTTGACTTTGTTGTCCTTAAGCCATTTTGGCACAACTTTGGAAATATGCTTGGAGTCATTGTCCATTTGGAAGACCCATTTGCGACCAAGCTTTAACTTCCTGACTGATGTCTTGAGATGTTGCTTCAATATATCCACATAATTTTCCTTCCTCATGATGCTATCTATTTTGTGAAGTGCACCAGTCCCTCCTGCAGCAAAGCACCCCCACAGCATGATGCTGCCACCCCCGTGCCTCACGGTTGGGATGCTGTTCTTCGGCATGCAAGCCATCACCTTTTTCCTCCAAACATAACGATGGTCATTATGGCCAAACAGTTCTATTTTTGTTTAATCAGACCAGAGGACATTTCTCAAAAAAGTAAGATCTTTGTCCCCATGTGCAGTTGCAAACCGTAGTCTGGCTTTTATATGTCAGTTTTGGAGCAGTGGCTTCTTCCTTGCTGAGCGGCCTTTCAGGTTATGTCGATATAGGACTCGTTTTACTGTGGATATAGATACTTTTGTACCTGTTTCCTCCAGCATCTTCACAAGGTCCTTTGCTGTTGTTCTGGGATTGATTTGCACTTTTCGCACCAAAGTACGTTCATCTTTAGGAGACAGAACGCGTCTCCTTCCTGAGCGGTATGACGGCTGCGTGGTCCCATGGTGTTTATACTTGCGTACTATTGTTCGTACAGATGAACGTGGTACCTTCAGGCGTTTGGAAATTGCTCCCAAGGATGAACCAGACTTGTGGAGTTCTACAATTGTTTTTCTGAAGTCTTGGCTGATTTCTTTAAATTTTCCCATGATGTCAAGCAAAGATGCACTGAGTTTGAAGGTAGGCCTTGAAATACATCCACAGGTACACCTCCAATTGACTCAAATGATGTCAATTAGCCTATCAGAAGCTTCTAAAGCCATTTTCTGGAATATTCCAAGCTGTTTAAAGGCACAGTCAACTTAGTGTATGTAAACTTCTGACCCACTGGAATTGTGATACAGTGAATTATAAGTGAAATAATCTGTCTGTAAACAATTGTTGGAAAAATTACTTGTGTCATGCACAAAGTGTCCTAACTGTCACGATCGTCATAATGATTGGACCAAGGCGCAGCGTGATATGCGTACATCTTTTTAATAGTGTACTGGCAACACGATACAAAATACAAAACAACCAAACGAAACGTGAAGTCCTCGGTTAACAACACAAACCAACACGGAACAAGATCCCACAAAACACAAGTGCACAACAGGCTGCCTAAGTATGGTTCTCAATCAGAGACAACAAGCAACAGCTGATTCACGTTGCCTCTGATTGAGAACCACCCCGGCCAACATAGAAACACATAACCTAGAACAGAACATAGAAAACAAAAAATAGACACTACACAAAGAAACTAACACCCTGGCTCAACATACAAGAGTCCCCAGAGCCAGGGCGTGACAGTACCCCCCCCCCCCCCCCCCCCCCAAAGGCGCGGACTGCGACCGCGCCAACATAAACCCAACAGGGGAGGGGCCAGGTGTGCATTCCGCCTCGGAGGCGGATCCGGCTCCGGGCGTGACCACCACCCTCTAACAACCCCCCCGTAGCGCCCCTGGTCTGGTCCCGCTGGCTGGAGCTGGACTGGACATCGGTGGAGCGGATTGCTTAGTCTCCGGTGTGGAGCAGCTGACCGGTACCTGACCAGGCACCGGTGAAACAGGCACGGGCTGTGCCGGACTGACGACGCGCACCACAGGCTTGGTGCGGGGAGCAGGGACGGGCCGGACCGGGCTGGCGACGCGCACCACAGGCTTGGTGCGGGGAGCAGGAACGGGCCGGACCGGGCTGACATCGCGCACCACTGGCTTGGTGCGGGGAGCAGGAACGGGCCGGACCGGGCTGACGTCGCGCACCACTGGCTTGGTGCGGGGAGCAGGAACGGGCCAGGCCGTGCTGACGACGCGCACCACAGGCTTGGTGCGGGGAGCAGGAACGGGCCGGACCGGGCTGACGTCGCGCACCACTGGCTTGGTGCGGGGAGCAGGAACGGGCCGGACCGGGCTGACGACGCGCACCACAGGCTTGGTGCGGGGAGCAGGAACAGGCCGGGCCGGGCTGGCGACGCGCACCACAGGCTTGGTGCGGGGAGCAGGAACAGGCCGGGCCGGGCTGGCGACGCGCACCATTGGCTTGGTGCGGGGAGCAGGGACGGGCCGGGCCGGGCCGGGCTGGCGACGCGCACCATTGGCTTGGTGCGGGGAGCAGGAACGGGCCGGGCCGGGCTGACGACGCGCACCATTGGCTTGGTGCGAGGGGCAGGATCAGGCCGGACCGGGCTGGCGACGCGCACCATTGGCTTGGTGCGAGGGGCAGGATCAGGCCGGACCGGGCTGGCGACGCGCACCATTGGCTTGGTGCGAGGGGCAGGATCAGGCCGGGCCGGGCTGGCGACGCGCACCATTGGCTTGGTGCGGGAAGCAGGAACGGGCCGGGCCGGGCTGGCGACGCGCACCATTGGCTTGGTGCGAGGAGCAGGAACAGGCCGGGCGGGCTGGCGACGCGCACCATTGGCTTGGTGCGAGGGGCAGGAACAGGCCGGGCCGGGCTGGCGACGCGCACCATAGGCTTGGTGCGAGGGGCAGGAACAGGCCGGGCCGGGCTAGCGACGCGCACCACAGGCTTGGTGCGAGGGGCAGGAACAGTCCGGGCCGGGCTGGCGACGCGCATCACAGGCTTGGTGCGAGGGACAGGAACAGGCCGGACCGTACTGGGAACACACACCACTGGCCTTGTGTGGGGATCAGGAACGGGCCGGACCGGACTGGTAACACACCTCAGTACCTCTCGCCGTGCCTCTACACTCTCCTTCCCTCTACTGACCAATGGCCCCCGTAACCTGGTGCCCTTCTCTCCTTGTCCACAAACTCACCCTTTATCTGTCTCCAGCAGCCCCGTCGTCCATGCCGTGTGCCCCCCCAAATTTTTTTTATTGGGGCTGCCTCTCGCCTGTCCGACGATGGCCAACCGGCGCCGCTTCTCCTCTCCTGCCTGGGTCTCCCCCTTCATCGCCCTCCGGTAACGGACGGCCTCCTCCTCCGTGATCTGCCCCCAACCGAGGAGGACATCCACTAACGTTACCTCCGGCGTTTGCTCCTGGACACGCTCCTGGACACACTGCTTGGTCCTGTATTGGTGGGATCTTCTGTCACGATCGTCATAATGATATGCGTACATCTTTTTAATAGTGTACTGGCAACACGATACAAAATACAAAACAACCAAACGAAACGTGAAGTCCTCGGTTAACAACACAAACCAACACGGAACAAGATCCCACAAAACACAAGTGCACAACAGGCTGCCTAAGTATGGGTCCCAATCAGAGACAACAAGCAACAGCTGATTCACGTTGCCTCTGATTGAGAACCACCCCGGCCAACATAGAAACACATAACCTAGAACAGAACATAGAAAACGAAACATAGACACTACACAAAGAAACGAACACCCTGGCTCAACATACAAGAGTCCCCAGAGCCAGGGCGTGACACTAACCGACTTTCCAAAATTATAGTTTGTTAACAATAAATTTGTGGAGTGGTTGAAAAACGAGTTTTAATGACTCCTCTTAGTGTATGTAAACTTCCGACTTCAACTGTATATACTAAAAGCATTGCATGAATCTATCATCGTATTTGTAGGTCAGAGAAAAAAAAAGCCTTTTTATAAACATTTCATGCAATTCTACGTAATTTTACATATTAGCGGAATATTTTTTTAATACCACACAAATTACCGAAATGATAGGCTAAGATAAGCCTATGTGTTCATCTTATCATATTTCTCCAATGCCAAATCAGTGTGTCTTGTTTGCAAATAATTACATCTGAGACGTCATTAGGAATCTGAGCATGGTACTTTCAAAAGTTAGGCCTAACTTTCCACCCCAGACAGGGTAGGCCTACCGACACAAAACAATTTAAGCTTTAACTGCCAGCTACTCTTCTTCCGTGGCTTAACCCAACGAGAGAAGGTCACAAGTGTTTCCCTAAAAGCTGTCTGGGTTTAAACATCTTCTATTGTACAGAAAGTGAGTAGCTTAATCAATTGATAGTGACAGAATTAGATTACGTCCCAAGCAAAGTCAGCCTCTGAATGTCGTAGAAACAAAACATTGAAATCCCGGGTATTTTACGGCTTGTTTCTAACATAAAGCATTGCGGACAAAAGCGCTGTTATATATCACTTTATATAATCAGATCCGTATTTTTTTTTCTAAATCTTAAGCTAACAAGGAGTAGGCCTGTGCATTTTGCCATTTTCTTTGATAAAAGGTAAGCCTATGGCATACCCTTTCATACCCCCTCAATTCGAGTCTAGATTTTAACTTAACAGCCCTTCACTGACACAGAGGTAGGCTATTTAAAGAGTGCATGATGGGTGGAGGAATTGACCGACAAATCTTTGGATATAGCAGCCTATAGCCTAATTTAATCTGTGAAACAGGTAGGCCTACCTCTTATTTCTTAAATAGGAGAAATAGGCTCTAACACAAATCCCTCGTTGTTAGTAAAATGTCCAATTAAAATGAAGACGGTTTAAATGAATCATGCCTACTCGAATTTGCCTACTTTCAGCACCATGAGCTGTCCATTTCCTTTTTCTATTTTGTATTCTTTTTTGAACAAATTATATTTTACCCCCTTTTTCTCCCTAATTTGGGGATATCCAATTGTTAGTTACGATCTTGTCTCATCACTGCAACTCCCCAACGGAGTCGGGGAGCTGTCCATTTCCGATTGATTTTGCTGTGGCTGCTGCTTCAAGTTTCAGCACCACAATGTAAATTACTTAAATCTGGCTTATTGTGAGGTCAATAACTCTGATAAATACATCATGAGCAAGAAACATATTGTTTTTAATAAAATCAATGATAGTAGTAGTAGTGGTGGTGGTAGTAGTCCTTCTCATCTTTACACTCTCCTTCTCACACTGAACAGAACATAGGCTATAGGCTAGTCCGTGCGCAAGATAGTGAATTTTTCGGACTAGGCCTAATCAACAATAACAAATCTACACAGCACAGCCATTGGTTAAGCAGCACACCAAAAAGTTAGAATATCCATTGCAATGTGTAATGCAGCCTAGTTTTATTTACACCATCTCAGCTATCTTAGAAATATAACTTTGCTCTGTGCTTCTCCGAGCATGCACTTCGTAGGATATAGCCTATAGGCTATGGATCATTTGATTGAGACCAAACTAAATAGCCTATAGGCGCAATTGATATTACGCGACCAGTGGAGAATCAGAGATGAGAGGCAGCATCAGGCACACAGCGATATATAGCCTAATAAGTAACTAATTCTAAAACACTGAGAAATACTGAAATTTTATCAATTACAAATTACATGACCCTCCCATGGACTAGAGTAAAACAGTACTAAACCCTCCCCTTGACTGAAATTGAAAGAAACATGACCCTCCCCCATTTTCCTCCAGGTAACCATTCGGTACATTTCGATCCGTCCCTTAGTCAACTGACAGTCCAGTACAAAATTGGTGCCCAAAGACCCATAAAATAATGCATAAGTCGTCGTACCTTGACACGAATGGGATATGGAAGCCAACGACCTTACAGAGTTCCACTTCTTTCAGCAAAACACAAGAAACTGCGATTGCAGTGGGCTAAGGAACGAAAACACTGGACACTGGAGAATTGGAAAAACATTGCCTGTTCTGATGAATCCCAGTTCCTGCTGTTTCACACTGATGGGAGGACTAGGGTATGGAGAAAACCACATGAGTACATGCATCCATCATGCCGCGTGTCAACATTGCAGGCTGGTGGTGGTGGTGTGATGGAGTGGGGTGTGTTTTCATGGCACGCAATGGGCCCTTTGATAAAAGCGGAGCAACGTTTGAATGCCACAGGATATCTGAACATCATTGCCAATCAGGTGCACCCCTTCATGGCAGCAGTGTATCCATCTGCGAATTGAATCTTTCAGCAGGATAATGCCCCATGCCATAAGGCTAGGATTGTCCAGGACTGGTTCCACGAACATGACAGTGAATTCAGTTTACTGTAGTGGCCTGCACAGTCACCAGATCACAATCCAATTGAGCATCTGTGGTATGAGATGGAACAAGCTATTCGGAGTAGAGATCCACTACCAGCCAACTTGACACAACTGTAGAGTCCATGCTCTAACGAATTGAGGCTGTTCTGAGGGCAAAAGGGGGTGCAACTCAATATTAGGAAGGTGTTCCTAATGTTTTTTACACTCAGTGTATATACAGTATATATATATATATATATATATATATATATATATATATATATATACACAGTTGAAGTCGGAAGTTTACACACACTTAGTTTGGAGTCATTAAAACTCGTTTTACAACCACTCCACAAATTTCTTGTTAACAAACTATAGTTTTGGCAAGTCGGTTAGGACATCTACTTTGTGCATGACACAAGTAATTTTTCCAACAATTGTTTACAGACAGATTATTTCACTTATAATTCACTGTATCACAATTCCAGTGGGTCAGAAGTTTACATACACAAAGTTTACGTGCCTTTAAACAGCTTGGAAAATTCCAGAAAATGATGTCATGGCTTTAGAAGCTTCTGATAGGCTAATTGACATAATTTGAGTCAATTGGAGGTGTACCTGTGGATGTATTTCAAGGCCTACCTTCAAACTCAGTGCCTCTTTGCTTGACATCATAGGAAAATCAAAAGAAATCAGCCAAGACCTCAGATTTTTTTTTGTAGATCTCCACAAGTCTGGTTCATCCTTGGGAGCAATTTCCAAAACGCCTGACGGTACCACGTTCATCTATACAAACAATAGTATGCAGGTATAAACACCATGGGACCACGCAGCTGTCATACCGCTCAGGAAGGAGATGCATTTTGTCTCCTAGAGATGAACGTACTTTGATGCGAAAAGTGCAAATCAATCCCTGTCAAGTGTCAATGTGCAGCGGTAGGACGGAGTCAGGCGCAGGACACAGAACTGAGTAAACAACGTACTTTACTTGAAAAATAAACAACACTAATTTCCACGCAGGGAAAACACACCAGCTCAAATAAGTCTCAGACACAAAACAAAGAACAAACACGCACAAAACCATGTGGGTACCAGAGGGTTAAATAGGGAAATAATATAATGTAATGGGAACCAGGTGTGTACAATCAAGACAAAACAAATGGAAAACGAAACGTAGATCGGTGGCAGCTAGAAAGCCGGTGGACGACCCGGAGGACGAGGCGCAGGACGATCCGGGTGGAGATGGTGAAATTCCTGCAGTAAGGAAGGGTCCAGGATGTCCTCCACCGGCACCCAGCATCTCTCCTCCGGACCGTACCCCTCCCACTCCACGAGGTACTGAAGGCCCCTCGCCTGACGCCTTGAGTCCATGATGGCTCGTACAGTATACGCAGGGAACCCCTCGATGCGGGAGGTTCCCCTCACAGGAACCTCCCGCACCTCAGACTGCTGGAGCGGACCTGCCACCACCGGCCTGAGGAGAGACACATGGAACGAGGGGTTAATACGGGTTAATACGGGGGAGCTGTAACCTATAGCATACCTCGTTCAGTCTCCTCAGGACTTTAAATGGCCCCACAAACCGCGAACCCAGCTTCCGGCAGGGCAGGCGAATGGGCAGGTTTCGGGTCGAGAGCCAGACCTGGTCCCCCGGTGCATACACCGGGGACTCACTGCAGTGGCGGTCGGCGCTCGCCTTCTGTCGCCTGATGGCCCATTGCAGGTGCACATGGGCAGCGTCCCATGTCTCCTCCGAGCGCCGAAACCATTAATCCACCGCAGGTGCCTCGATCTGGCTCTGATGCCACAGTGCCAGGACTGGCTGATAACCTAGTACACACTGAAACGGAGACATGTTAGTGGAGGAGTGGCAGAGGGAGTTTTGGGCCATCTCTGCCCAGGGGATGAAAGCCGCCCACTCCCCCGGCCGGTCCTGGCAATAGGACTGCAGAAACCTACCCACATCCTGGTTAACTCTCTCCACCTGCCCATTACTCTCGGGGTGAAAACCTGAGGTCAGGCTGACCGAGACCCCCAGACGTTCCATGAACACCCTCCAGACCCTCGATGTGAACTGGGGACCCCGATCAGACACTATATCCTCAGGCACACCGTAGTGCCAGAAGACGTTGGTAAACAGGGCCTCCGCAGTCTGTAGGGCCGTAGGGAGACCGGGCAAAGGAAGGAGATGGCAGGACTTAGAAAACCGATCCACAATGACCAGGATCGTAGTGTTACCTTGTGACGGAGAGATCCGTCACGAAGTCCACTGATAGGTGTGACCATGGCCGTTGTGGAACGGGTAGGGGTTGTAATTTCCCTCTGGGCAGGTGTCTAGGTGCCTTGCACTGGGCGCACACCGAGCAGGAGGAAACATAAACCCTCATGTCCTTAGCTAAAGTGGGCCACCAGTACTTCCCACTAAGACAGCGCACTGTCCGACCGATGCCAGGATGACCAGAGGAGTGTGACGTGTGGGCCCAACAGATCAATCGATCGCGGACATCAGACGGAACGTACAGACGCCCAACTGGACACTGGGTGGGAGTGGGCTCCGTATTTAACGCCCGCTCAATGTCCGCGTCAACCTCCCATACCACCGGTGCCACCAGGCAAGAAGCCGGAAGTATGGGAGTGGGATCCGTGGACCGCTCCTCTGTGTCATACATCCGGGACAGTGCGTCTGCCTTAGTGTTCTGGGAACCTGGTCTGTAGGATAGGGTGAAAACAAAATGGGTGAAAAACATGGCCCACCTTGCCTGGCGAGGGTTCAGTCTCCTCACCGCCCGGATGTACTCCAGATTGCGGTGGTCAGTCCAAATGAGGAAAGGGTGTTTAAGCCCCATCAAGCCAATGCCTCCACGCCTTCAGAGCCCTGACAACAGCTAACAGCTCCCGGTCCCCCACATCAAAGTTTCGCTCCGCCGGGCTGAGCTTCTTCAAAAAGAAAGCACAGTGGAGGAGCTTTGGTGGCGCACCCGAGCGCTAAGACAGCACAGCTCCTATCCCAGCCTCGGACGCGTCCACCTCTACTATGAATGCCAAGGAGGGATCAGGATGAGCCAGCACGGGAGCCGAGGTAAACAGAGCCTTCAGGTGACCAAAAGCCCTGTCCGCCCCAGCTGACCACTGCAGTCGCACCGGTCCCCCCTTCAGCAAGGAGGTAATGGAAGCCGCCTGACCAAAGCCCCGGATAAACCTCCGGTAGTAGTTGGCAAACCCTAAGAACCGCTGCACCTCCATTACCGTGGTTGGAGTCGGCCAATTACACATGGCTGAAATGCGGTCATTCTCCATCTCCACCCCTGACGCGGACAGGCGGTACCCTAGGAAGGAGACAGACTGTTGGATGAACAGACATTTCTCAGCCTTGACGTACAGGTCATGCTACAACAGTCGACCAAGCACCTTGTGCACCAGGGACACATGCTCGGCGCATGTAGCGGAGTATATTAGAATGTCATCTATATACACCACTACACCCTGCCTGTGCAGGTCCCTGAAAATAGCATCTACGAAGGATTGGAAGACTGATGGAGCATTCATCAACCCGTACGGCATGACGAGGTACTCATAGTGCCCAGAGGTGGTACTAAATGCCGTCTTCCACTCATCCTCCTCCCGGATACGCACCAGGTTGTAAGCGCTCCTGAGATCCAATTTGGTGAAGAAGCGCGCCCCGTGCAATGACTCTGTCACACTGGCTATGAGAGGCAGTGGGTAACTGTAGTTCACAGTGATCTGATTTAGACCTTGATAGTCAATGCACGGGCGTAAACCTCCATCTTTCTTCTTCACAAAAAAGAAACTCAAGGAGGCAGGTGAAGTGGAAGGCCGAATGTATCCCTGTCCCAGAGATTCGGAGACATATGTTTCCATAGCCGCTGTCTCCTCCTGAGACAGAGGATACACGTGACTCCTGGGAAGTGCTGCGCCTACCTGGAGATTTATCGCACAATCCCCCTGTCGATGGGGTGGTAGTTGAGTCGCCGCCTTTTTACAGAAGGCGAGAGCCAAATCGGCATATTCGGGGGGAATGTGCATAGTGGAGACCTGGTTTGGACTCTCCACCGTAGTTGCACCTATGGAAACACCTACACACCTCCCTGAGCACTGACGTGACCATCCCTTGAGAGCCCTCTGTTGCCACAAAATAGTGGGGTCATGAGAGGCCAACCAGGGAAAGCCCCAACACCACAGGATCAGGAAGAGACTAATTCTCTCCTCATGACCCTCCTGCGTTTTCATACATAGTGGAGCTGTGACCTCCCTAATCAGGGCCGAACCTAAAGGACGACTATCTAAGGCATGTACAGGGAAGGGCACATCAACAGGAACAATAGGGATCCCTAATCTACGTGCAAATGAACGGTCAATAAAGTTCCCAGCCGCGCCTGAATCTACTAGTGCCTTATGCTGGGAATGTGGGGAAAACTCAGGAAATTCTATGCATACACACATGTGCGCAACAGGGAGCTCTGGGTGAGTTGGGTGCCTACTCACCTGGGATGATCCACCAGTGCCCTGCCTGCTGCCTCGACTCCCTGGGGAACCTCCCCAGCACCGACCAGCAGTGTGCCCTCTGCGGCCACAGTTGGTGCAGGAAACGGCCCCCCCTCCGGTCACCCTTAGAGCAGCACTTCCGAGCTCCATAGGGGTAGGGTCGGAGGTGCTGGGGGATGGAATGGACGGACCCTGACCCGGACGTCCGCGGATGGCCAACAGGTTATCCAGCCGTATAGATAAATCCACCAGCTGGTCGAGGGTAAGGGTGGTGTCCCTGCATGCCAGCTCCCGACGAACGTCCTCACGTAGACTACACCGGTAATGGTCGATCAGGGCCCTCTCATTCCATCCCGCGCTGGCAGCCAAGGTCCTGAAGTCCATTGCGAAGTCCTGTGCGCTCCTCTTCCCCTGTCTGAGGTGGAACAAGCGTTCCCCCGCCACTCTCCCCTCAGGTGGATGATCGAAGACCGCCCGGAAGCGGCGGGTGAAATCCTCATAGCGAACCAACGCTGCATCTATTCCTCCCCATTCGGCGTTGGCCCACTCAAGCGCTCTCCCCGACAGACAGGAGATGAGGGCGGACACGCTCTCGTATCCCGAGGGGGCCGAGTGGATGGTCGCCAGGTAGAGCTCCACCTGGAGCAGGAACCCCTGGCACCCGGCAGCCGTCCCATCAAATGCCCTCGGGAGCGAGAGAAGAATCCCACTGGGTCCAGGTGACGGATGGGTGGACATCGGTGTGGGTTGATCTGAAGTTGATGGGGTTGTGGGAAAACCCCCTCTCTCCCATCGCTCCATGGTCTGCAACACGCGATCCATGGCTGTGTCAAGATTCTGGAGCATCGTTGCGTGCTGCAGGATGCGCTCCTCCACTGGTACCGGAGGGACTGGATGCACCTGCTGACTCCATATGTGGTGCGTGTTTCTGTCAAGTGTCAATGTGCAGCGGTAGGACTGAGTCAGGCGCAGGACACAGAACTGAGTAAACAACGTACTTTACTTGAAAAATACACAAATTTCCACGCAGGGAAAACACACCAGCTCACATAAGTCTCAGACACAAAACAAAGAACAAACACGCACAAAACCATGTGGGAACCAGAGGGTTAAATAGGGAAATAATATAATGTAATGGGAACCAGGTGTGTACAATCAAGTCAAAACAAATGGAAAAAGAAACGTAGATCGGTGGCAGCTAGAAAGCCGGTGACGACGACCGCCAAATGCCGCCCGAACAAGGAGAGGCACCAACTTCGGCGGAAGTCGTGACAATCCCAGAACAACAGCAAAGGACCTTGTGAAGATGCTGGAGAAAACAGGTACAAAAGTATCTATATCCACAGTAAAACGAGTCCTATATTGACATAACCTGAAAGGCCGCTCAGCAAGGAAGAAGCCACTGCTCCAAAACCGCCATAAAAAAGCCAGACTACGGTTTGCAACTGCACATGGGGACAAAGATCGTACTTTTTGGAGAAATGTCCTCGGGTCTGATGAAAAAAAATAGAACTGTTTGGCCATAATGACCATCGTCATGTTTGGAGGAAAAAGGGGAAGGCTTGCAAGCCGAAGAACACCATCCCAACCGTGAAGCACGGGGGTGGCAGCATCATGCTGTGGGGGTGCTTTGCTGCAGGAGGGACTGGTGCACTTCACAAAATAGATGGCATTATGAGGAAGGAAAATTATGTGGATATATTGAAGCAACATCTCAAGACATCAGTCAGGAAGTTAAAGCTTGGTCGCAAATGGGTCTTCCAAATGGACAATGACTCCAAGCATACTTCCAAAGTTGTGCCAAAATGGCTTAAGGACAACAAAGTCAAGGTATTGGAGTGGCCATCACAAAGCCCTGACCTCAATCCTATTGACAATTTGTGGGCAGAACTGAAAAAGTGTGTGCGAGCAAGGAGGCCTACAAACTTGACTCAGTTACACCAGCTCTGTCAGGAGGAATGGGCCAAAATTCACCCAACTTATTGTGGGAAGCTTGTGGAACGCTACCCGAAACGTTTGACCCAAGTTAAACAATTTAAAGGCAATGCTACCAAATACTAATTGAGTGTATGTAAACTTCTGACCCACTGGAAAAGTGATGAAAGAAATAAAAGCTGAAATAAGTCATTCTCTCTACCATTATTCTGACATTTCACATTCTTAAAATAAAGTGATGATCCTAACTGACCTAAGACAGGGAATTTTTACTAGGATTAAATGTCAGGAATTGTGAAAAACTGAGTTTAAATGTATTTATCAACTGTATATATAAACGGAGTGTACAAAACATTATGAACACCTGCTCTTTCCATGACAGACTGACCAGGTGAATCCAGGTGAAAGCTATGATCCCTTATTGATGTCACTTGTTAGACAGGTTAAAGAAGGATTTTTAAGCCTTGAGACAACTGAGACATGTATTATGTATGTGTGCCATTCAGAGGGTGACAAAAGAATGGGCAAGACAAAATATTTAAGTGCCTTTGAACGGGGTATGGTAGTAGGTGCCAGGCTCATTGGTTTGTTTCAAGAACTGCAACGCTGCTGGGTTTTTCACGCTCAACGGTTTTCCGTGTGGTCCACCACCCAAAGGACATCCAGCCAACTTGACAACTGTGGGAAGAGCCAACATGAGCCAGCATCCCTATGGAATGCTTTCGACACCTCGTAGTCCATGCCCCAACATATTTAGGCTGTTCTGAGGGCAAACGGGGGATGCAACTCAATATTAGGAAGGTGTTCTTAATGTTCTGTACACTCAGTATATTATTCATTGAAATTACCATTGAATAGGATTAGTTTCATTCAAGTTTTCCTTCCCACTCTTCCCCAAACCCCATACCCGTACAGGAGTACCAGGGTTCGTCTGTCTTAGGCCAGTTTGTGACACGTTTCCTTCTGCGAGAGACCAACACCCAGTTGCAGTCCCTGCAGTTATCACTAGACTGCACTATGGAGGCTGTGGACGAGCAGAGCTGCACTGGCAGGTAGAGTAGCACCGCAGTTACTATCTATTATCTTCCGCTGTGCACTGCTACATCAAGTAGTTGAACATCTTGGTGTACTATTACCATTACCAGTGAGTGATCAGTTACCGTACATGATTATGCCTATATCAGGATATGTAGGATGATGATGCATTTGATGGTAGTGACAATTATAAGGATGCAGCTGGTACGGTTGATGACAATGATGATGAAAATCACTGTATTTGACAACAGCAACAACAACACTGTTGCTGTTGATGATGATGATGATGATGACGATAATGATGATAATTGTGTCCACTGCAGGAAGATAAGGAAGCCAGAGGATCTTTCTCTCCAGAGAATCGCCAAACGCCCCAGCCGTCGAATCCAAAAGGACCTGTGTCTCTCTCCCACAGACCCTTACTCTGGCATGCTCACTACAGGTACACAGCAGTGGAGGCTCCTCAGAGGAGGAAGGGGAGGACCATCCTCCTCAGTGAATTTCATAAAAATAAAAATAGTAAAACATTTAAAAATGTATCCTTTTTAGATAAAACTATGCTAAATATATTCACGTCACCAAATAATTGATTAAAACACACTGTTTTGCAATGAAGGTCTACAGTACCCTCAACAGCACTCTATAGGGTAGCACCAGGGTGTAGCCGGAGGACAGCTACCTTCCATCCTCCTCTGGATACATTGACTTCAATACAAAACCTAGGAGGCTCATGGTTCTCACTCCTTTCCATAGACTTACACAGTAAATTATGCAACTTCCGGAGGACCTCCTCCAACCTAACAGAGCTCTTGCAGCATGAACTGACATGTTGTCCACCTAATCAAAGGATCAGAGAATGAATCTGGTACTGAGAGCATAAGCTACAGCTAGCTAGCACTGCAGTGCATAACATGTGGTGAGTAGTTGACTCAAAGAGAGAGAAAGACAATAGTTGAACAGTTTTGAACAAATACATTTTTTCAAAAATGAAAGCGAGGCAAGAGAGAGAGCTAGAGAGATATTTAGCCATTTTTACTTTCACTTACTTAGCTAGCAAAAGCAGCTAGCTAGTTCAGCCTACTCAAACACCTGGCTCAAACAGGGGGATGCTATGTTAGCTAGCCAGCTATGACTATCCAACACAACACTGGAACTCTTTCAAGTCAAGGTAAGCTTTTGGTTTAACTCATTTATTGCCACCGGTGCCCGCCGGTGTAAACTACACTGTAACGTTACTGCATGATTGTAGCAGGTTTACTAACAAGTTAGTTCTATTAGCTATGTTGACTATGATGTTACTTTAGCTAATATGGTGACAACTATGTAGGCTGTGTGTAGCGGTTATGATATGGTTTGGCTTGGAACGTTTTTTTTACCTGGTCACAGCCTGATGTGTTGTGCATTGAAGTCCACAAGCGAAGGGAGAAGGTGAGAGGAGGAGAGCGCATAGATGCGAGAAGGAATACAATGTGGCTGCTATGAAAGTGAACTGTGTTTACGTGTGATCAGGGGTGTATTCATTCTGCCGATTCTGTTGAGAAACGTTTCTTAAACGGAAGCAAACGGAATGAAGCGGGGATAAACATACCTGAATTTGTCCAATAGAAACTCTAGTTTGCAACTGTTGACCTAATGATTACACCCTATATCAGCTAGATGCTCGACCTGTGTGCACCTACGCTGTAAACTTTAATTCATAGGCTAGGTTGTAGCAACCTCATGATGGGTATAGGGAACAATTTGAGTATAATGTAGTAGCCTAAAACTATCGATGTTACATTGAACTGGGTGAATGGAATATGAATGACAGTCATCCAATGTGCTGTAATAGAAATAAGACCATGCTCATGAAAAAAAAATGGTCCTCCCTCACTGGTACACACTGACACACACCTGTGTTTGGTCTCAAAACATTCAACTGCAATATGTGTTTTTGGCAATGACACATATCACATATAAGCCTATGGCAATTGGAAATCAATTTAGTGCAGTTGAATGTTTTGAAATGTAAATTCTTAAACTGTAATTGTTTGATTTTTTAAATGTTTTTACTTCATATGTCACAAAGTCCTGTGATGATCTGACATTCTGTTTCCTTGGTTAAGGTGTCAGTGTGGAGCCAGACAACCACCACTGGAGCTCCCAGGCCAACCGCCTGCAGCAGCTCATAGACAAGCTGGAGTATGAGGTACGAGGTTCAGTGGTTGTTAGCTAGAGTCTAAGGAACGAGGTTCACTATTTGTTAGCTGTAGTATGAGGTACGATATGCAGTAGTTGTTAGCTGAAGAATGAGGTTCAGTGGTGGTTGAGGTTCAGTGGTGGTTGAGGTTCAGTGGTTGTTGAGGTACGAGGTTCAGTGATTGTTAGCTGGAGTATGAGGTACAAGGTTAGTACATAGATCATTCCATTTGGTCTTAATGATGTGTTGTGAGTCTCTATTCAAACACGTATGTCTTTGATAAGTGCCCACTGATTCATTTATGCTTAGTTGACACTAAGCTTAAGTCACAACATTGCCCCTCCCGCTGGGATGCACTAATATTTAATAGACGACGACAAACACCTAAAGTGCTAACTGTCAAATTCTCGTCTTATATTACCCAAGCTCATGCTCTCATGGCTAGATTCAACCTGCTTAGGGAAATATACACTCACCAGCCAGTTTATTAGGTACACCCATGTAGTACTGGGTCAGACCCCCCTTTGCCTTCAGAACAGCCTGAATTCATCGGGGCTTGGATTCTACAAGGTGTTAGAAATATTCCACAGGGATGTTGGTCCATGCTGACGTGATAGCTTCACGCAGTTGCTGCAGATTGGACGGCGTTACATTCATTGCTCAATTGGTATCAAGGGACCTAACGTGTGCAAGGAAAACATTCCCCACACCAGTACACCACCGCCACCAGCATGTACTGTTGACACCAGGCAGGATGGGTCCATAAGCTCATGCTGCTTACGCCAAATCCTGACTCTGCCATCAGCATGACGCAACAGTAACCGGGATTCGTCGGACCAGGCAATGCTTTTCCACTCCTCAATTGTCCAGTTGGTGATCGCATGCCCACTGGAGCTGCTTCTTCTTGTTTTTAGCTGATAGGAGTGGAACCCGGTGTGGTTGTCTGCTGCAATAGCGCATCCGTGACAAGGATCGACTAGTTATTTGTTCTGAGATGCCGCTCTGCACACCACTGTTGTCCTGCACCGTTATTTGTCTGTTTGTGGCCCACCTGTCAGCTTGCACGATTCTTGCCATTCTCCTTCGACCTCTCTCATCAACAAGCTGTTTTCGCCCACAGGACTGCCGCTGACTGGATGTTTGTTGTTTGTCGCACCATTCTTGGTAAACTCTAGACACTTTCATGCGTGAAAAGCCCAGGAGGGCGGCCGTTTCTGAGATACTGGATCCGGTGCGCCTGACACCGACGATCATACCATGCTCAACGTCGCTTAGGTCACTCGTTTTGCCCATTCTAACATTCAATCCAACAGTAACTGAACGCCTCGATGCCTGTTTGCCTGCTTTATATAGCAAGCCACATGACTCACTGTCTATAGGATCGATCCATTTTCGTGAACTGGGTGGTGTAACAAAAAAACTGTCCGGTGAATGTATATATACATATATCAATCCATTTCATATCAAAGGCAATGCTCTGTGACATACAGTTAGGCTACCATATTTCAGCCAAATTTGATCAGGCTCGTTATGTTCTTAAAGTTTGTTCTTCTCATGACTGATATTTATACTTCCATTTGCAGAGTCCACATCTGGAACCACTCAATGAAGACACGTTAGCCGGCACATATAACTCGGTGAGTCCAACTCGGACAGCCACTATGGCCACTTCCTTTTAGATTTGGAAAAGTTTTCTATGTACACTACCAGTTAAAAGTTTGGACACACCTACTCATTCAAGGGTTTTTCTTAATTTTTTTACTATCTTCTACATTGTAGAATAATAGTGAAGACATCAAAACTTTGAAATAACACATATGGAATCATGTAGTAACCAAAAAAGTGTTAAACAAATACAAATGTATTTTGTATTTGAGATTCTCCAAATAGCCACCCTTTGCCTTGATGACAGCTTTGCACACTCTTGGCATTCTCTCAACCAGCTTCACCTGGAATGCTTTTCCAACAGTCTTGAAGGAGTTCCCACATATGCTGAGCACTTGTTGGCTGCTTTTCCTTCACTCTGCGGTGCGACTCATCCCAAACCATCTCAATTGGGTTGAGGTCGGGTGATTGTGGAGGCCAGGTCATCTGATGCAGCACTCCATCACTCTCCTTCTTGGTAAAATAGCCCTTACACAGCCTGGAGGTGTGTTGGGTCATTGTCCTGTTGAACAACAAATGATAGTCCCACTAAGCCCAAACCAGATGGGATGGCGTATCGCTGCAGAATGCTGTGGTAGCCATGTTGGTTAAGTGTAAATAAGTCACAGACAGTGTCACCAGCAAAGCACCCCCACACCATAACACCTCCTCCTCCATGCTTTACAGTGGGAACTACACATGCAGAGATCATCCGTTCACCCACACCGCGTCTCACAAAGACACGGCGGTTGGAACCAAAAATCTCAAATTTGGACTCCAGACCAAAGGACAAAGGTTTCTTGGCCCAAGCAAGTCTCTTCTTCTTATTGGTGTCCTTTAGTAGTGGTTTCTTTGCAGCAATTCGATCATGAAGGCCTGATTTACACAGTCTCCTCTGAACAGTTGATGTTGAGATGTGTCTGTTACTTGAACTCTGTGAAGCATTTATTTGGGCTGCAGTTTCTGAGGCTGGTAACTCTAATGAACTTATCCTCTGCATCAGAGGTAACTCTGGGTCTTCCATTCCTGTGGCGGTCCTCATGAGAGTCTGTTTCATCATAGCGCTTGATGGTTTTTGCGACTGCACTTGAAGAAACTTTCAAAGTTCTTGACATTTTCCGGATTTTTCCCGTATTGACTGACCTCCACCTTGTCCCAACACAACTGATTGGCTCAAACGCATTAAGAAGGAAAGAAATTCCACAAATTAACTTTTAAGAAGGCACACCTGTTAATTGAAATGCATTCCAGGTGACTACTTCATGAAGCTGGTTGAGAGAATGCCAATAGTGTGCAAAGCTGTCATCAAGGCAAAGGGTGGCTATTTGAAGAATCTCAAATATAAAATATATTTTCATTTGTTTAACCCTTTTTTGGTTACTACATGATTCCAAATGTGTTATTTCATAGTTTAGAAGTCTTCACTATTATTCTACAATGTAAAAAATAGTACAAATAAAGAAAAACCCTTGAATGAATTGGTGTGTCCAAACTTTTGACTGGTAGTGTATATCTTGAAAGGTGTTACCCTAGATTTCAATTACTTGACATAGTGAGATCCATGTATCTCTCAAAATAATGTTTCTCTGCTATAGCATCATTCATTTGTCTTAGGTCCATAAGGAAACTTATACTTCTTTAGGGAGTTATTTTGTCTTGTTTTGACCCCATTATCAACACAGGCAGCACGTCTCGAGATTGAGGGTTTTAACATTACAATGTCCAAACCAGTAGTTTCCCCCTCAACAGAACATCCTGCTGGTGCAGAGACAGATGTCTGTGAAGGACAAAGACACAGAGGAGTTCCAGCAGGCTCTGAAGATCTACACAGACGCCACAGTCTGCCAGACCAAAAATTTGCAGTGGGTCTCTCTTCTAGATTGAATAAATTGCCAATTGTTTTTATTTACAATTTAACATTTTAGTCATTTAGCAGACACGACTTACAGTTAGTGCATTCCTCTTAAGATAGCTAGGTGGGACAACCACATCTCAGTCAGTGTAAGTACATTTTTCCTCAATAAAGTAGCTATCAGCAAAGTCAGTGCTCGTAGGAGGGGGGGGGGAGTGAAGTGCGAGTGTTAGTTTACAAAAGGCAAGGGGGTGCTGAGGGATTATTTAAGATACTCTTTGAAGAGGTAGGGTTTCAGATGTTTTCAGAAGATGGGCAGGGACTCTGCTGTCCTAGCTTCAGGGGGAAGCTGGTTCCACCATTGGGGTTCCAGGACAGAGAAGAGCTTTGACTGGGCTGAGTGGGAGCTGCCCTCCTGTAGGGGTGGGAGGTCCAAGAGACCAGAGCTTGCAGGACGGAGTACTCGGGTTGGGGTGTAGGGTTTGAGCATAGCCTGAAGGTAGGGAGGGGCAGTTACTCTTGCTACTCCGTAGGCAACAACCATGGTATTGTAGTGGATGCGAGCTTTGACTGGAAGCCAGTGGAGTGTGCGGAGGAGCGGGGTGATATGGGAGCCCAGCCAACAGCGAGTTGCAGTAGTCCAGACGGGAGATGACAAGTGCCTGGATTAGGACCTGCGCCGCTTCCTGTGTGAGGTAGGGTCGTACTCCACGGATGTTGTAGAGCATGAACCTGCAGGATGGAGTCACTTCTTTGATGTTTGCAGAGAACGACAGGGTGTTGTCCAGGGTCACGCCAAGGTTCTTTGCACTCTGGGTGGGGGACACCGTGGAGTTGTCAACTGTGATGGAGAGGTCTTGGAGCAGGCAGGCCTTCGTCGGGAGGAAGAGCAGCTCCGTCTTGTCGAAGTTGAGCTTGAGGTGGTAGGGCCGACATCCAAGCTGAGATGCGTGTCTCCACCTGGGAGTCAGAAGGGGGGAAGGAAAAAATTAGTTGAGTGTCATCCGCATTGCAATGATAGGAGAGACCATGAGAGGATATTAGAAGAGAGGGCCTAGAACCAAGCCAGAGGGGACACCAATAGTGAGAGTACGTGGTGCAGACATAGATCCTCTCTACGTCACCTGGAAGGAGCAGCCTGCCAGGTAGGATGCAATCCAAGAGTGTGCAGAGACGCCCAGCCCTGAGAGAGTGGAGAGGAGGATCTGATGGTTCACGGTGTCAAAGGCAGCGGATAGATCCAGGGGAGAGAGAGAGAGTCAGGTTTGGCAGTGTGGAGAGCCTCCGTGACACAGAGGAAAGCAGTTTTGGTTGAGTGGCCCGTCTTGAGCCTGGCTGGTTAGGGTCAAGAAGATTGTTCTGAGAGAGATAATGAGAGAGTTGGTCAGAAACACTCAAGTGTTTTGGAAAGAAAATACAAAAGGGATACCGGTCTGTAGTTTTTTACATCAGAGGGGTCGAGTGCTGGCTTCTTGAGGAGGGGAGCGACTCTGGCCATTTTGAAGTCAGAAGGGACTCAGCCAGTGGTCAGGTATGAGTTTATGAGGGAAATGAGGAATGGAAGAAAGTCTCCAGAGTTGGTCTGGAGAAGGGAGGAGAGGTGAGGTCGAGAGGGCAGGTTGTCGGGCGGCTGGACCTCAGTAGTTGCAGGATTTTGTCTGGAGAGAGAGGGGAGAAAGAGGTCAGGACCAGTGGACTCAATGGTCTGAGTGAATGAGGAGCAGATGTTGTCAACCTTATTTTCAAAGGGGTTGACAAAGTCATCCACAGAGAGGGAGGGGGTGGAGGATTAAGGGTTAGAGGCAGAAGCTTAACATTTAGAGTGATATAAAGTGGATTTAGCAGCAGATACAGAGGAAAAGAAGGTAGAGGAGGGAGTGAAAGGATGATTGGTCCTCCGGAAGTTTAGTTTTCCTCCATTTCCGCTCAACTGCAAGCAGCACTGTTCTTTAATCTTGCAATGAGTCACTCAGCCACAGAGGAAGAGGGGAGGCCTGAGTCATAGGGGACAGTGCAAGTCATAGGATGCGGAAAGTGAGATTAGTAGGCGAACATCCTCTAGTAAAGCGTATTGCCTGCCTTGTGAGTGGGAGAGGACTGGGAAAGGGTGAGGTCAAAACAGGCAAGGAGGGGAAAGAAAGAGGTGGAAATAAATTAATTGAAAGCAGACGATGGGCGGTTGAAGTCGCCCAGTATGATGAGCGGTGAGCCATCATCAATAAATTAGCTTATCAAGGTGTCGAGCTCATTCACAAATTCTAAGGCCACCTGGTGGGCGATAGATGACAACAATGTTAAGCTTGAGTAGACAAGTGACAGTGACAGCATGGAATTCAAATGAGATAGACAGGTGAGTGAGGGAGAAAATAGAAAATGAGTAGCCCTGTGCCACCACTGCGATGACCAAATGCTCTCGGACTATGAGAGAACGCGTAGTCAGATGAAGAGAGAGCAGCTGGAGTAGCAGTGTTCTCTGGGGTGATCCATTTCTCCGTCAGGGCCAAAATGTCTAGGAACTGAAAGGCAACATAGGTTGAGATGAACTCTGCATTCTTGACCGCAGATCGGCAGTTCCAAGAATTCCACATGGCAGCCTATTGTGAATCTCTTTTCCTGGATAAATTGAAATCTCCCTAATCCTGAATAGCTACTCTGGATTCGGCAACACAATGTGGGTGTGTTTCAATACTGGAAAGGGGCTTCCTTTCCTTCATAGCTATTGTTTTGGGATACTTTCAGATAGGTGCTTGTACCTTCTGTACCATGAAGGAAAGAATGTACAAGAAAATTACAATAGTTCAGAAATTTTTGTGATACAGAGTACAGCCCCTACTACAGGAAACTACAAATGCAACATGCTAATTTCATTACGTGACATAAGAGTTGTGACTTCATTATCCCACAGTGTGTCCATTCAGACACTTCCAGAGAGATCCTGCTTCATCATGTATGAGTTCTGGCAAGACCGTTTCTCCTGGATGAGGTACATAATTTAGTCTGTAGTCCCAACAGTGTCTCAAATGAATTAAGTCAAATTGGTGAATGAACTGTAATGGTCATCCATGTGAATGTTGAGTCAACTGCTTTCTGAATTGACTGAATGAAAATGGAATTGCACCTAAACCTTGTAAGAGACTATGATTTAGTATAGCTGTTCAGAATTCTTCCAAAATCAGTTTTCCTACCAAAAGCCTTGATATAGATGGGATATTACTATGCTGTTGGGCTAGGCCATGATTAAAATACCTTCTACGAAGCCTTATTGACGGTCTGACAGAGCACTGACAGTGCAAGGTCACCCAATTGACCCCTCCCTCCCCTTTTCCCATCCCTTCCTCCTACAGTTACTTGCAGTCCCCCATCAGCAAGACATTCCACCGCTGCATCATTGACGTACTGGAGGACCCGGAAATGGTCTCCACCATGCTCCTACCGGGTAAGTGTTGCATGGGCGGATGGGCTTTTTGGGGTGTGGATGGAGTGGGGATGGGCGGGAGAAGATGAATGAATGGCTATACAGTCAGGGAAAAAAGTATTTGATCCCCTGCTGATTTTGTACGTTTGCCCACTGACAAAGACATGATCAGTCTATAATTTTAATGGTAAGTTTATTTGAACAGTGAGAGACAGAATAACAACAACAAAATCCAGAAACACGCATGTCAAAAATGTTATAAATTGATTTCCATTTTAATGAGGGAAGTAAGTATTTGACCCCTCTGCAAAACATGACTTAGTACTTGGTGGCAAAACCCTTGTTGGCAATCACAGAGGTCAGACGTTTCTTGTAGTTGGCCACCAGGTTTGCACACATCTCAGGAGGGATTTTGTCCCACTTTGCAGATCTTCTCCAAGTCATTAAGGTTTCGAGGCTGATGTTTGGCAACTCGAACCTTCAGCTCCCTCCACAGATTTTCTATGGGATTAAGGTCTGGAGACTGGCTAGGCCACTCCAGGACCTTAATGTGCTACTTCTTGAGCCACTCCTTTGTTGCCTTGGCCGTGTGTTTTGGGTCATTGTCATGCTGGAATACCCATCCACGACCCATTTTCAATGCCCTGGCTGTGGGAAGGAGGTTCTCACCCAAGATTTGACGGTACATGGCCCCGTCCATCGTCCCTTTGATGCGGTGAAGTTGTCCTGTCCCCTTAGCAGAAAAACACCCCCAGTTCTCCTCTGAATCATTCAGATGTTCATTGGCAAACTTCAAACGGGCCTGTATATGTGCTTTCTTGAGCAGGGGGACCTTGCGGGCGCTGCAGGATTTCAGTCCTTCACGGCGTAGTGTGTTACCAATTGTTTTCTTGGTGACTATGGTCCCAGCTGCCTTGAGATCATTGACAAGATCCTCCCGTGTAGTTCCTGGCTGATTCCTCACCATTCTCATGATCATTGCAACTCCACGAGGTGAGATCTTGCATGGAGCCCCAGGCCGAGGGAGATTGACAGGTTCTTTTGTGTTTCTTCCATTTTTGCGAATAATCGCACCAACTGTTGTCACCTTCTCACCAAGCTGCTTGGCGATGGTCTTGAAGCCCATTCCAGCCTTGTCCCTGATATCCTTGGAGAGCTCTTTGGTCTTGGCCATGGTGGAGAGTTTGGAATCTGATTGATTGATTGCTTCTATGGACAGGTGTCTTTTATACAGGTAACAAGCTGAGATTAGGAGCACTCCCTTTAAGAGTGTGCTCCTAATCTCAGCTCGTTACCTCTATAAAAGACACCTGGGAGCCAGAAATCTTTCTGATTGAGAGGGGGTCAAATACTTATTTCCCTCATTAAAATGCAAATCAATTTATAACATTTTTGACATGCGTTTTTCTGGATTTTTTTTGTTGTTATTCTGTCTCACACTGTTCAAATAAACCTACCATTAAAATTATAGACTGATCATTTCTTTGTCAGTGGGCAAACGTACAAAATCAGCAGGGGATCAAATACTTTTTTCCCTCACTGTATGTGACCTCAGAGAAATATTTTTATAACAATATATAAATGAAGAAAACAACTCTGAGGTACAGAGCCTCAAATCTACTGGAGAGGATGTGATAATGCATGCCACTTTTTATGATAATTTATTGTTGTCAAGGCCAAATATCTAAATGATCAGTCTATTTATTTTGTTCATTTGTTTTTTCAGCATCGTGGTGGATTATGAATAACAACTGACAGAAGTAAAGTTCCTATCAATAACAATAAGAGGAGAAAGTGTTACTTAATTTGACTGTTTTGTACTGGTATGTTTTACTTAATTTGTTTACTTCAGCATACTGAGGACTGTTTCCTAAACAATATGCTGTATTTACTGTATTGTAATATTTTGAGGTAAACTAATGCACGACTTGACTATTTAGTTAAATCAGTCAAAAAACCTAATGCGTTAGAAAGAGAGAAAGTTTTGAAATATTGCAATAACTATTGTGTTATTGAAATCCATATCATTATAATAAGTATTTTTTCCAGTGCATCTTTCGATACATTGACATGTCATGTATGATTTTAGATGTAGAAATAGACGTACAAGATCAAAAATGTTTGCATGAATTTGAATGATTTCCCAATGCTACTTTGTTACTACTTTCTAAACAAACATGTCACGTGAGTTGCTTTAACATCCCATTATGTACTACGTTAGTTACCTATAATGCATATACATATCGATTATGGTCTATGGTCATTCAATACTCATACTGCAACTAAAATAACAGCAGATAACTAACTAGAGGTAGAGTTTACCAGTGTCCAATTGTTCTACCTGTTGTAGTGTGCAATGTTGAACCTAGCTCATAGAAAATGCCACAACAGTGATTTCCAATAAGATGGTTCTTATAGAATTTACTCCAAACCCTGACTTGGATAGATTATATCGTATTTATAGTTACTGTATGTCACTCCTGCACTTTAGTTGTGAACAGTGGTTGAAATTAATGAATGGATCTATATGTTTATTTTTTTGATGCTATGTTGATGGTTAAGTATGTGAAGGGACAACATGGCAGGTTTTCAGTCACTCCAAAGTGTAATCTCAATCTACTGAGATAGCACTAACTAAAGTAATATTCATAAAATAACAATACGGATATGGAACCTGTACTGCTATCCCTCAGCTAAAACAAGCTAATCTAAAGCCATCAGTGTTTGTTTATGGTAGATATTTTCCATGGTGAAAGGAAATGCAACCAACATTATATTATGAATGGAGAACAAAACAAAAGCAACATAGCAACATTGCTTACCCTGTAAGCAGTCTATGGACAACGTCAAACAGCAATCATTTTGTAATTTGGGTGAACTATCCCTTTAAGAATATAGCAAATGTCTATAAGAATCTTCGTGAAACTATAGGTAATTCACAAATGGTAAAGGATCATTAGTAGATAGATTTGATAGCAGAGTGTTGATCATGTCAAATGGAGATGAATGAATATGTCCAATCTCTTCTGTACTGTAGTTGTTCTTCAGTGATCCAAATTATTTTTAAAATCATTGTTACAATATTTATGTGGATGCTATGTTTCTTTTTGGCATGAAATAAAATGTATGCCTTAACCATTTTACATCATTATTGATACATCATTATTGATTCACACTAATACAGCTAAGTGTATGTACTGTAGGCTATAGGTATATGGTGCAATTCACAGACAGCTGTAACTAGAATTTCAAAATGACTATAAATATACAGTACATAATGTGTCATATTACATTATATAATATCAAATTATGTCCTATGAGGTGACATACAGTATTTGACGTCATTGAGCTGTTTAGCTTACAGTGATGTTTTACATTATATCCCTGTCTGGAGGACTGAAGTACAGTACCAGTCAAAAGTTTGGACACACCTACTCATTCAAGGGTTTTTCTTTATTTTTTACTATTTTCTACATTGTAAAATAATAGTGAAGACGTCAAAACTATGAAATTACACATTTGGAATCATGTAGTAACCAAAAAAGTGTTAAACAAATCAAAATATATTGCACACTCTTGGCATTCTCTCAACCAGCTTCACCTGGAATGCTTTTCCAACAGTCTTGAAGGAGTTCCCACATATGCTTAGCACTTGTTGGCTGCTTTTCCTTCACTCTGTGGTCTAACTCATCCCAAACCATCTCAATTGGGTTGAGGTCGGGGGATTGTGGAGGCCAGGTCATCTGATGCATATGTGGGAAGATTTCACTTCAGTGGAACTAAGGGGCGTAGCCCGAACCATTTAAAACAGCCCCAGACCATTATTCCTCCTCCACCAAACTTTACAGTTGGCACTATGAATTGGGGAAGTTAGCGTTCTCCTGGCATCCGCCAAAAACAGATTAGTCCATCGGACTGCCAAATGGTGAAGTGTGATTCACCACTCCAGAGAACGTGTTTCCACTGCTCCTGAGTCCAATGGCGGCGAGCTTTACACCACTCCAGCCGACGCTTGGCATTGCACATGGTGATCTTAGGCTTGTGTGCGGCAGCTCGGCCATGGAAACCCATTTCATTAAGCTCCTGACAAACAGTTATTGTGCTGATGTTGCTTCCCGAGGCAGTTTGGAACTCGATAGTGAGTGTTGCAACCGAAGACAGAAATTTTTTACACGCTACGCTCTTATACACTCGCCGGTCCCGTTCTGTAAGCTTGTGTGGCCTACCACTTTGCAGCTGAGCCGTTGTTGCTCCTGAACGTTTCCACTTAACATTAACAGCACTTAAAGTTGACCGGGGCTGCTCTAGCACGCCAGAAATTTGACGAACTGACTTGTTGGGAAGGTGGCATTCTATGACGGTGCCACATTGAAAGTCACTGAGCTCTTCAGTAAGACCATTCTACTGCCAATGTTTTTCTATAGAGATTGCATGGCTGTGTGCTTGATTTGTATACACCTGTCAGCAACAGGTGTGGCTGAAATAGCCTAATCCACTAATTTGAAGGGGTGTCCACATACTTTTGTATATATAGTGTACTTCCAATAACTTTGTCAGACCATTGACCATTGATAACGACATGGGATTTAGGACAGAAATCTGTCTCACGAAGATGGAGACTAAACATGTCCCTCCTTAATGACACTACATTTGTGGACTTTGTTAGAAAAGTGTGCAGTTCTATCTTGATCTTAACATAAGCCCTGAGGTCTCACCACTTACACTCTGAGACTGTGCAAAAGCCTTTCTAAGAGGTCGCATTATATCATTTGCAAGCGCAAAATAAAAGAGGAATGAATCCCAAGCATGTTGAATTTGAAAACAAAGTAAACCATTTAGAACAGCACAAAGCGAAATCACCCACAGCTCTGATGACATCCCTTAAGGAAACGCTCAGAGCTTTAGATAAACAGCCCTCTATATTTTCAGAGAGCAGGCTAAGGTTTGCTAAGCAGAGATATTATGAGCATGGCAACAGAGCAAGCCGCTTATTAGCATTCCAGCTAAGAAAGCCGCAAGCATCTAATGTAGATAAAGAAATAAAGTAACAGACGCCAAATCACTTCTTAACTAAACCAGAACAGATATCTGAGGCATTTGCTGACTATTATAAGGTTCTCTATAGATACTCTTGCTCAGATGGGGAACAGTTAAAATAATTTTTGCAAGGGGTGGGAATGACAGAGCTACCTGAAACAATGGCTAAAGAATTAGAAGAACCTGTTGGGAAATTGATTAGGAAATTTAAAATCTTAAGAATAACAAAAGCCCTGGACTAGATGGTTACCATAACACATTTTTCAAAAACACTTAAAGATGTGCCACCTCCTCTTTTTTTCCAAGCCTATCACCACTCCCTAGAGACTGGGAATCTTTCCCCCTCCTGGATGGATGCAACCATTACAGTAATTTATAAAGAGGGGAAAGACCCAACCCAGCGTAGTTCGCATAGGCCTATTTCACTTCTCAACGACGACCTCCAAAGTCTTAACAGCAATCCTAGCCAGACGGGTGAATAAAGTAATTACCTCTATCATACACCCGGACCAGACAGGCTTTATCACAGGCCGCTACTCGGGTGACAATATTCTTAGGCTCCTCAATGTCATAACCCTGGCCCGGGCTACTGGAGTGGAGGCAATGATCTTATCTTTACATGCAGAAAAAGCGTTTGACCGCGTGTTTTATATTGTATTTTTGTGTGATTTTTTTTGGTATTCTTTCTTAAAACTGCATTGTTGGTTAAGGGCTTGTAAGTAAGCATTTCACTGTAAGGTGTACACCTGTTGTATTCGGCGCATGTGACAAATCAAATTTGATTTGATTTGAAATTGCTTTTAAGTTGCCCAGCGAGGGCATTAAGTACCTGGTAATCTTTTTTCCGCCATCACTACAGAGTTTATATGGGGCGAACTATAAGATAAGATAATCCATTGCATTAAAAAATGACCTAGACAGCTGGTCGACACTGCCCTTGTCCCTAGTGGGGCGAATAGAGACTGTGCGCATGAATGTCCTCCCCAGATTGTTTTATCCGTTTCAAATGCTTCCTGTACAAATCCCCAAATCTACATTACATTTGGTTGACCGCCTGATTTCCAGAATCATATGGAAAGGTAGACGCCCGAGAGTATGATATAAAACACTACAGCTTCCTAAATCAGTGGGAGGCTTGGCACTTCCAAATTTAAGGTTTTATTTTTGGGCAGCGCAGTTAAAACCAATGACTGCTTGGGTTAGTGACAGCATGGAAACACGCTGGCTAAGCATATAATTGTATGACTTTTATGAATATGTCTGTAAAGAACTATAGAATGAATGGACTGCACTTACTATTAATGTTTGGAAAGAGATACAGAAAAAATTTGGTCTGCCAAGGTCAATCTCAATCCTGTCTACTATTGGGTCAATTAAAGGATTTCAGATCTTCCCTTCTTGATGTGGTCTTCAGAAAATGGTCAGAATGGGGTCTTGTCTATGTACAGTGCATTCGGAAAGTATTCAGACCCCTTGACTTTTTCCACATTCTGTTACGTTACAGCCTTATTCTAAAATGGATTCAATTGTTTTTCCCCCTCCTTAATCTACACACAAGACTGCATAATAACAAAGCAAAAACAGTTTTTTTTTTTTATTGCACATTTATACAGATATTAAAAAACGGAAATATCACATTTTACATAAGTATTCAGACCCTTTACTCAGTACTTTGTTGAAGCACCTTTGGAAGCGATTACAACCTAGAGTCTTCATGGGTATGACACTACAAGCTTGGCACACCTGTATTTGGGGAGTTTCTCCCATTCTTCTCTGCAGATCCTCTCAAGCTCTGTCAGGTTGGATGGGGAGTGTCGCTGCACAGCTATTTTCAGGTCTCTCCAGAGATGTTCGATCGGGTTCAAGTCCGGGCTCTGGCTGGGCCACTCAAAGACAGTCAGACTCCTTCTTTGTCTTGGTTGTGAGCTTAGGGTCGTTGTCCTGTTGGAAGGTGACCCTTCGCCCCAGTCTGAGATCCTGAGCGCTCAGGAGCAGGTTTTCATCAAGGATCTCTCGGTACTTTGCATCTTTTCCTTGATCCTGACTAGTCTGCCAGTCCCTGCCGCTGAAAAACTTTCCCACAGCATGATGCTTCATCGTAGGGATGGTGCCAGGTTTACTCCACACGTGACGCTTGGCATTCAGGCCAAAGAGTTCAATCTTGGTTTCATGAGACCAGAGAATCTTGTTTCTCATGGTCTGAGAGTCCTTTAGGTGCCTTTTGGCAAACTCCAAGTGGGCTGTCATGTGCCTTTTACTGAGGAGTGGCTTCCGTCTGGCCACTCTAACATAAAGGCCTGATTGGTGGAGTGCTGCAGAGATGGTTGTCCTTCTGGAACGTTCTCCCATCTCCACAGATGAACTCTGGCACTCTGTCAGATTGACCATTGGGTTCTTGGTCACCTCCCTGACCAAGGCCATTCTCCCCCGATTGCTCAGTTTGGCCAGGCAGCCAGCTCTAGGAAGAGTCTTGGCGGTTCCAAACTTCTTTCATTTAAGAATGATGGAGACCACTATGTTCTTGGAGACCTTCAATGCTGCAGACATTTATTGGTACCCTTCCCCAGATCTGTGCCTCGATACGATCCTGTCTCGGAGCTCTACAGACAATTCCTTCGACCTCATGGCTTGGTTTTTGTATTGACATGCACTGTCAACTGTGGGACCTTATATAGACAGGTGTGTCCCTTTCCAAATCATGTCCAATCAATTTAATTTACCAAAGGTGGACTCCAGTCAAGTTGTAGAAACATCTCAAGGATGATCAATGGAAACAGGAAGCACCTGAGCTAAATTTTGAGCTCATGTAAATAAGGTATTTCTGTTTTTTATTTGTAATACATTTGCAAAAATTTATTAAAACCTGTTCTCTCTTTCATTATGGGGTATTGTGTGTAGATTGATGAGGGGGAAAACATGTTTAATCCATTTAAGAATATGGCTGTAACGTAACAATGTGGAAAAAGGGAAAGGGGTCTGAATACTTTCTGAATGCACTGTACATCACTTATTCA